TGACGATGTGGCAAGCAGAAGGGCCACACTCTAGGGTACGCGATGAGGACACGAGATGTTGACATGTGACCAGGGCTGACGTTTCAAAAAAACCCACTCTGATTTTAGCCCCAAATTTTTTTCCCAAGTCTGAGTAGTCAGGTTTCAGGTTTCATGGTAGTCAGATTTCTCAGGATCCAGTTACTCTCAAGTCTGATTTCTTCAGGGTTCGCAAGTATGAATCAGAGTCGTGATTTTACCATTTAGTCGCCATTATTTTATAAGATTCGGGCAGTTAACCTACACCTAGTCTAATTTCCTAGCCTAGCTAGAACTCTGGCACATCCACAGCGACAACATCCTGCACCTCATCATCCGACAGAAAGGGGTTGTCTCCTATAGCTACTGCACCTCCACCATCCCTCTCCCCCTCCTCCTCATTCCAATCCTCTCCTAAATAGTCTGGCACTGAAGGTTCCTGCTCTGCCTCTTCCAGCAGAGCCTTGCCTTTGCGCTTCCTCTCTTGTGATGCGAACACCACCGACTTCGCTGGTCTTCTCTTCTTTGCGTGCCACAGCTCCAGCGCCTCCTGCCAGTTGATGTCGTATCTCAGCAGCGAAATCATCATCAGCTCACCCAGGCGGGCATTGCACAGAGCACCACGGACCCAAGACTTGATCACGTTCTGCCTGGAAAAACCACGCTCGCACTCCACAGTTGAGAGTGGTAACACCGCGCATGCTTGCCAGAGAAGCATGAGGTTGGGCCAGCGCCTATTTATGGAACAACCACACACAAGAGGCGTGGAACAATAGAATCAATTATAAACTACAAGCATGGTGGGAAAGGAACAATAGAAGTTGATACAAACATAGACAGTTAGCGTGGTCAAACTGGCAAAAACAATTATACACAGGCAGACACAGCAGCGTGCTTTGGAGGCTCGACTTACGTGCTTGACTCCGTGTTGCCAAGGTAGTTTGTGAGGCCCTGGTAGAAGCCCTCCTCGTTGTGGTGGTTCTGCATGATCGGGGCCCAAGTTGCCAGCTCCTTTTCCGCATCCTTCAAATCGAACCCGGGGAGCTTGTCGTCGAAGATAGCACTGCAGCCATGGAGATACTCTATCGTCTTCTTCTCCCTCACCATCCGATGCCGCGGCCACTTGCCCGCCCGAAACAGCTTCGTCGGCCCGAGCTTCAACAGGTCGTCCAGCCGCTCCAGCAGGTTCGTCACGCTCCCCCTCGCGAATTTCGCGCACAACAGTTCGCAGTCCCGGTAGTTGCTCTGGTAGACGTGCCCCTTGATCTGCCGCTCGTGCATCTGGTACGTGTGCGTCACCGGCTGCCCGTCCTTGTCAACGCCGCGCACCTTCACTCTCTTCGCCCCCCCTCGCCCGTACACGGTTAAGAAAGCCGAGAGCCACGTGCCGCTTACGCCCGCACCGAAAACCCCGCCACACTCCAAGTAGCGGTGCCGAATATCCCCCACCGCCTCGTCGACGTCCTGTGTTATCTCGGTAACATCCACCTGCGGTCAGGCGGGGAGGGGGGGGGGGGGTGGTGGAAACATGGGGGCGCAAATCAAGGGGGAGAATGTTAGTGCTGATTGTGAAAGAACATACCACAAGCTCACATGCAAGGGCTCACCTCTCGCTTCTGAAACTTGAGGTTGAGCTCGTTCATAATGGCGAGGACGTCCGCCAGGAAGAAGAGACAAAACTGAAACTTGTATGAGATGACAACCTCGTACAGCTCATGGTTATACTCGTACAGTAAAACGATGGCCGCACCAAGGACCTTACAGAGGCGTCTGACTGCCTCGCCCCTGGACAGCCACCGAATCGCGTGGATTCCTTGAACTTCAAAGTTGGTCTTGTGGATGACACGCTGCAGGTACTTGAACCGCTGGCTCCACACGCTTGAATGGCCGAGAAGATCGGCCAGAGATCGGATAACCTTGTCGACCATGTCCAAGTCTGGACAGGCAGATGCGGCGTCCTTCACAACCAGAGCTTCCCTGTGCACAGTCCATGTAAAAAGATTAGTAAACGAATAAAAGAAAAAAGCGACAATATAACATAACGAGTTTATACCGGTGGGCGATGCAGTGGGACGACACAAGGTGAGAGATGTGCTCGCGGAGCCGCGCCACGAGACCGTTCTCGCGCCCAACCATGACGGAAGCGCCATCGGTGCTGATTCCCGCGATGCGGTTGAGTTCGATGTCGGCGCCTTGAAAATGAGTGAGAAGCACGGAGAGCAGGGATGCGGCGTCGCACTTGTCGACGGTGAGCAACGAGAAAAACTCGGTGACGACGCGGCGATGGCGCAGGAACGTGAGGTACACTATCAGGTGCTTCCCTCTGGTACGATCAGTGCTCTCGTCGCAACTGATGCCGAGGAACGGGGACGATTGAATGTGCTGCATCTGGGTCCGTTGAAGAAGAGTCGCCAAGCAGTGGACCATCTGTTGAAAGCCGTACCTGCACGCAGAAGAGAGAGTAATTGTTAAAATAATCCAACGGAGAAGACTAATGGAATGTACTCGCCGGTACTTACCGAGTGAGGTAAACACCGTAAGACTGGAGCGATAGGTCCGGGGTGTCCTGCTCAGCCATAAAGTGACATAGCCGAGGAAACATGCTGATGGGAGCATCGACCTTACAGAGAAACTCAACAGCGCGGAGCAGTCGCACGACCCGCCTTCCCTCGACATCCGACGACAAATAGTCGTCCATCGTCTTCTGCCCATCGGCGATGTCGTCGGCAATCTTCAGCTGGGCATCCACAGCTTCCTTGTGTGCAGAAGAGTGTTCGTGTATGCGCATGGTCTGTGTCTGCAGGTCTCGGCCACCATCGCCCAAAGAGCTGTACTTGGTGGTCTCCTTGCCAAACGTCATGCACACACTGCACTTGAGAGAAGGGTGGCCGTCTTTTGTTTTGGTCAGCACTAGCCATGGAAAGAAAGGCAGCCATGAAGTTTTGTACTTTGCTTCAGCGAGGAGGTATTTCTGCTCTATCAATTCCTTCTTACTCAGCTTTGGCGGTGGCGGTTCAACGTCGGCAGGGACTGCACTAGGTGATGGCGGCGTGGACGGGCGGCGGAGCCTACCTCCGATCATGATTTGAGACTGGGTGTACTTGCCCGTCCGTTGTTTCTTCGCAGACGAAATCGTGGACGCGTAGGGCACGCTGTAGCGGACTGTGGTGGCGGTGACGCAGTTAACGGGCAGAGTCGGGCCTCTGCTGGATGAGGCGACGGCAGGCGGAGGGACATATGGTGGTGGCACGAAGGGCGCGGACGGGGGTGGGTTTAGAGCAGGCTGGGTTTCCTCCGCTGCGGAGGAAACCACAACAGCAATGACGGGAGGAGAACCTAACGACCGCAGTATGTCTATCGCGGAGCGACGAACCTCTGCAGGCTCGTTAGTATGAGGTGGTTCATCGGCGCTGGGCTCATCGTCTTCTTCTGCAGGAGTCCCCGTCATGGCTGTTGACGGGGTCGACAAACGAGAACCTACGTGAGGACGACAACAACGAAACACGAATTGAGGAGTAAGATTTACAAACCCCGTGTAAAAGCCTGAGTGCGCCTGAGAGGAGGGGGAGGGATGAGAGGGACGAAGAAGAAGGGCACCATCAAGCCCGAGGCGCGTGTTTCTTGGTTAACCGTCGTCGTCAGCTTCTGGATGGCAGCCCCTTCCAAACCCGCGCCGCCATGCCAAACATGAGCTGACGTTACGAACGAACCATGTGTTGGCATGGACTGTCGCCAATCACGGTCGGTCGGAGTGTTTTGCACATGCCAGCAAGGGCAAGAATCCCGCGTTACCAGCCTTTGATGGCTTCCAACACACCCACGTAGAGGTCGCACGCGTGGCAGGAAGCATGACGCGCTGAGCGGCAAAGTCCCTGTTGAGGCAGCATCACAGTCACAGTAGCGGCGGGAATCCTGCCAAGTGCAGATACTTCACGTGAGACGTGCGGGGATGAAATGATGGAAGGCAACATATGAGGGCTCTCGGCGGTGTGGCACGGGCTGGCGACGACCGAGCCGAAGACAGCAGCTACGGCAGGAGCAGGAGGAGATGCAGGGGAGGGAGAGGTGGTGGGGTTGCTGTGGTGGGGCTGCAGGACTTCAGCGCGGCGCCATAGGCGCGGCGCTTACTGGCGGGCGGACGCGCTGTACGTCCAGCAGCTGCGGAGGTGAAACTCGGCGGCTGCAGCTCGACGACACCGCCGCGGCACCAGAATGACGCCGCAGCAGCGTGGCGTCGGAGCCGCAGCTGCTCGTCGAAGTTGGGACGGCAGCATCAAGTGGCCGCCGCGACATCTTGATGCCACGGCGGCAGGCAGGCAGAAAGCTGCAAAGGCGGCGAACGGAGCAGGAGTGCGCAGCGGAAACGTAGTGAGCAGGCCCGGGACGGACGGCCTGCTCTGAAACCATGTTCGAATGCGAGCTAACAAGTAATGAAGAAGGCCGCCATGAAATGGCGGCCGGGGTTTAGCTAGGGAAGAAGAAAATTGTCGAGAGAGAAGAAGATAGACTAGAAGATAATGAAGTACAAGAAGGGGGTTGTCCCCCCTACAGTAGGATGCAGTTAGTAGCATAACTACCAAGCCTACAATTATATAAAATATAATTTTAACACAAGGTGCATGGATGTCGCATTCAGAGTCCATACGCGATGTACTCTGAAACCTCAGTATCCGCACAACGACTACTCTGAAAAGTTCAGGATCCAAAATCTTACAAGTCTGAAGGGTTCAGTATCCAGAAAAGCCTGTGTCTGAAAAATCAGGATTGGCAAAAAAATGGGTCTGAAATTTCAGACAATCAGACTAAAACAAAGTGGTGTAACATGCACAACTATTTTGGAATGGAAAAATGCATATGTTAGTTCCATAAAACCATGGTCTTATTTTTTTTTGCCTTTAATTCCACCCACCCCAAAATTTTCATGAATTTGTTTTAGCTCCCTAGGGTACTATATTCGGGAGAATATGGTACTAGTGCAAGGGTTCAACTACTCAACTTCCGCTGCACTACTCAAGTATCTTGTACAACTGGGACTTAGTCTCTGAAAAGATCCTAAGGGCTTTTCTCAGCCCAACAAGGAAGTAGTCAAATTCGCTATTACTTCAACAACGCCATAACAACTTCACTTCCGGTTCTCTCCTGTCCTGTACACAGCAGTCTCAGCTTTCTCCTGACTGGTTGCAGGAGGATGATAAAAGACCTCTCGACCCTTCACTGCATCCATCAAATATTTTGCTGGTGGGGTAGTTCCTTTCATCAGGGGCAGCATCATCATCCGTAGGGTCAATTCCAAAGCTTCTGGTGCAAACAAGCGAAACAGCAATGCAGCTGAAAACCAGGTAGGAATGAGGACATAACGGGCTCCACAACATGCTCCATCAACCAGTGCCTTCGCGACTGTAGAAGTACGCAGCATGGGCTGAGGGCCAAGTAACAGCTGTCACAGTGCGAATGGAGGAGACAGACATGGTCAGCAATTTTAGAAGATAATAGAAGCCACAAAACCAGGGAGGGAATGCATACACCCACTCACATCGCGTCTCTCCTGGTCCACCACCAATCGACCTAGCTCATCCAGCGTCTTCCCTGCCGTTAGCTCAGATGCGGTAGCACCAGGAAATCCAATTGTGATGCCCACATCTACCCCAACTGGTTCCGCACGTAGTGTATCAAAGAATTGAGTCAACCCTGCCTTGGCAGCCTGCACACATGGCACACATCAGGCCTCTGCTGGGAGATGAAAGCCCACTTACCAAATTACAAGCATACCATAGCACTCACATTATAGATGCTGAAGCGAGGCATGGGCAGGAAGGCGCCAATTGACGCATTCACAAGGATCTGACCTCGAGCCCTTCGCAGGTAAGGCAGGGCATGCAGCGTTATCCACATACTGCCAAAAAAATCCACGTCCTGCAAGAGAAAAAAGGGACGTGGCAAGCACGTGAATCATCCCTCCAGCCCTTTTTGCCCATCGCTTACTAAATGACGTTTCACTCACCATAACTTGCCTCATGGCCTCTATGCTCTGAGCATCTTTGAAGAGGAAGGTATGGCCAATGCCCGCGTTGCACACGAGATAATCCACTGCAGCACAGGAAAGATGAAGAGCGAGCAAGGGTAAGCATGACAGACGATCAAGGAGATGAAGCTGAGCTCGAGTGGCAGCAGGGCGAGCCGTGCTGACAGGTTCGGAAGTGAGAGATGGCGGCGTCCACCATGCGGCGGCAGTCCTCCTCCTTCGCCACGTCCCCCTCCACGGTCCTCACGGCCTCCGCGCCCATGTTGCCGCACCGCCGCGCCACCTCGGCCAGCCGCCCCTCTCGCTGCGCGCACAGCACCAGGCGGGACCCGCGGCGGGCAAACTCATACGCGATTTGCTGTGAGGCGGTGCAGGGAGAGAGAAGCGGGGAGGGAGCGAAACCCACAAGAAGCAGTGAGACACAAGAAAACACCATGAACGGGAACAGGAAACACGAGGCATGCTGAGAAGGTACACGGTTGATGGCACTTACTGGTCCGGAGGTGAATCAGTAATCGACTGTACGGGCGTCTTACCTCGCCGATGCCCGATGATGCTCCCGTGATGAGCACGGTCTTATCCCGCGCGGCAGTCCAGGAGAAGAAGGAGCGCCAGAGGCGGACGACGTAGTTGAGCGCGAAGAGCACGGGCGCCCATGCGAGCAGCAGCAGCAGGCCCAGCGGCGGCACGACGAGGTTGAGCACGCGGCTGAGCGTCCACTCGATGCCCCACATGCTGGACGTTGCTCGCGGGGAAAGGCGTCAGCCACTGGTGCGAGCACGAGCGAGCTGCAGAGGTTGAAGGGGAGGAGAGTAAGGCGAGAGAGGGACGGCGAGGGGTAGGAACGGCGAGGGGACGGAGAGGGCAAGCTAGTCGCGCGAGAAGGACAAGGCGACAGTTCTCGACTACGGCGGCTGCGTGGGGTATTTCAGGAGTGAATGACGAGGCGAGTCGCGTGGTGGGTCGTGGGAGCCCATGGCGACTCGTGAAGCAGATTGGTTGTGCAAGCAGTCACCTCACCACGTGGGGTGGTGCATGGGCGCTGAGGGAAAGATACCTGCTGTGCTGGTGCTGCACTACTGACTCCTATAAGACGTGTTTCGTATTCCGACAATGTGCTTCAGGAGCGAAACCTCCGCGCCTATGACTATTTACTGTACGATACTTCCATTCCAGCACTACAAAATTGAGGTCGAGAGTAGCTGAGCTGAGATCAATTTACTTCCTCTCTCCCCTCCCTTTTTCCCAACCAAGTCTCTCATGCCCAACCCAATCACTTGTGAAGCTGCATGGGGCGATCACGTGGCGCGCAGGTTTACGACTCCGCCATGCAGTAGCGCACAGGATTCACGACCCTAGAACGCTGCCCGCCGTCGCGCTATTCCCTCTCGTGCGCCGACCGCCAGCGAGCAGCGCGCTGGAGAATGGACCCCACCAGCGGGGACACCGCCGTGCCCTCCGCCGACTCCCGCGATGCCCGCGACACTGCCGGTGCGCCTTCCGCCATCCAACCAGAGGGCAACGTGCCCGTTGGGGTGCCACCAGGAGGCGCGGAAGTAGCGGAAGAAGCGGGCGCGCCACCAAGTGACGTACGACCGACACCGGCGGGCGCAGCAGCGGTAGAGAACGCAGCCGCTCCCGCAACAGCTGGCGCGCACGAGGCCGCGCAGTCCGCGGCGAGCGCGGAAGCGGTAGCGGCGACTGAGGGCGATGATGGCGGGGGAGCCACAGGCGATGCGCCGCCAGAAGCAGAGGGTCCCAGCGGGGAAGGGCGCGCAGACGAGGCAGGGGCTGGCGGAGAGCGGAAGAGTGAGGTGATTGCCGCGGGCGCGGGCGGCGGAGAAGCGGAGGCCCAGGTTCCGCGGACAGGGACGGGCGGGGAAGCTGTGGCAGAAGTGGCAGGAGAGGGCGGGGAAGAAGCCAAGGGCGATGAGGCAGGGGAAGCTACGGAGCGACGGGCGGAAAATGCAGAGGCGAAGGGGGATGTCGGGGGAGGAGAGCAGGCGGAGGGGAAGGCGGAGGTGATTTCGGTAGAGAGCAGCGAGGGGAAGAAAGGCGTGGTGATTTCTCTCGAGAGCAGCGAAGAAGCCGTGGCGGAGGGAGGGCGCGAGCACGGCGAGCAGGGCGACGAAGCCAGTGGCGGTGATGGCGGCCGTGCTGAGAGCGGCGCACGGACGGGCGGAGAGGCAGGCACGGACGAGAAGGGAGGAGAGGAAGGTAAGGATGAGAAGGGGGCAGATGAAGTTAAGGGTGACAAAGAGGACGCGCAAGTCAAGGGTGAGAGGGAGGGGCAGACCAACAATGATGAGGCGGAGGCTGCAGATGGTGCAGGGGAAGAGGGAGCGGCCGGCAAAGAAGCCGAGCGGGCGGCAAAGGATGCGGAGAGGGAGGGTGGTGAAGGGAAGGCGGAGGGGGGTGCGGGTGAGGAGGATGCAGGCAGAGGCCAGGGCGGAGCGGCGGCTGAGCATGGGGGTGACGCGGCAGGAGAGGGGCAGGCGGGCGATAGCCGTGCTGGGAAGGGGAGCGCAGAGGGGGTGGCGCAAGGAGAGGCACGCGAGGAGGAGGAGGGGGCGGCGGGTGGGATAGAGGGGCGTGCAGCGCAGGGGGATGATGGGGAGGGGGAGCGAGGAGGCGATGTGGCTGTGGAGGAGGGGAAGGGCGGGGAGGTTGTGAATGGTGGAGACAGGGAAGGCGGGGCAGGTGAGAAGGGAGCGGAGGAAGAGGCGCGCGTGGAGAGAGCGGGAGTGCAGGGAGCCGCAAGTGGGGTAAAGGGGGGGAGAGGCGATGGGAAGGGTGGAGGGGTGGAAAACGAGGGCGGTGAGAGTGTGGCGCCAAGGGTTGAGGGATGTGGGGTGGGTGTGGGGGTTGAGAGAGAGATAGAGGGGGGTGTGGTGCAGAGAAACGAGGAGGTGGGGACGGCAGAGGGGGGCGAGGAGGAGGAGAAGCGAGATACAAAGAGGGAGGGAGGTGTCGAGACGACAGAAAAGGGGCAGGAGGACGATGCGGGAAGGGCAGAGGGAATAGAGGGAGACGAGGGGAAAGGCGGAGACGGGGACGAGAAGGAAGAGGTTGCCAAGGAGATGGAGGAGGCAGGGGAAGGGGAGGGAGAAAGAAAGGAGGGGGATGAAGGGGCTGGGGAGAGAGAAGCTGTGGCTAGGGAGCGAGAGCGGGCCCAGCAGGGGGGGAGGGAGGGCGGAGAGGCAGCAGAGGGAGAGAGGGCTGACGGAGCAGGAGGCTCTGAGGCACCAGCGAGCGGGGAGGCAGCAGAGGGGGGAGTAGGAGCATGTGAGGTGGGCACAGAGGGTGCGAGACAGGGTGCAGCAGCCAAGGAAGAGGAGCATGGTGCGGCGGCACGTGCCGGCACCAACGGTGCTGGCAGCAGCGGCAGGGAGCAGGGCAAGGGGGGTGGAGAGAGCAAGGGGCTTGGGGAGAGCAAGGGGGTTGGGGAGAGCAAGGGGGTTGGGGAGAGCAAGGGGGTTGGGGAGAGCAAGGGGGTTGGGGAGAGCAAGGGGGTTGGGGAGTGCAAGCGGGTTGACGAGAGCAAGGGGGTTGGGGACGGCAAGGGGAGTGGGGAGAACAAGGGGGGTGGGGAGAGCAAGGGGGGTGGGGAGAGCAAGGGGGGTGGGGAGAGCAAGGGGGGTGGGGAGAGCAAGGGGGGTGGGGAGAGCAAGGGGGGTGGGGAGAGCAAGGGGGGTGGGGAGAGCAAGGGGGGTGGGGAGAGCAAGGGGGGTGGGGAGAGCAAGGGGGGTGGGGAGAGCAAGGGGGTGGGGAGAGCAAGGGGGGTGGGGAGAGCAAGGGGGGTGGGGAGAGCAAGGGGGGTGGGGAGAGCAAGGGGGGTGGGGAGAGCAAGGGGGGTGGGGAGAGCAAGGGGGGTGGGGAGAGCAAGGGGGGTGGGGAGAGCAAGGGGGGTGGGGAGAGCAAGGGGCCCCAAGAGGAGCATGTGAAGGCGGGAGAGGAGGCAGTAGGTGTGCATGCGCAGAGGATGGATTCTGGGGAGCATGCGGCGCAGGTGGGGGAGGGCGTGCAGGGCGGTGGGACTGAGCAGGGCAAGAAGGCGGAGGAGGGAGGGGGTGCAGGTGGGTCAGATGAGGGGAAAGGTTTAGAGGCGGACGCGGGGGGGCAAGGGAGTGCGAGCGCGCAACTGGAAACTAGTCCGCAGGTGCAAGTGGCAGCGCAAGCTGTGGCAGCGCAAGCGTTGGGAGAGAAAGAGGTGGGAGGGAAAGAAACGTCAGCAGCAGAGGTGGCAGTGGTGAAGCAAGGTGTAAGTGCGTGTGAGCAGAGGGATGCGACGATTATAGTGACGGGACAAGCGGGCGCGGCAGCTTCAAATGAGGCACACAGACAGGGAGAAGGGAGAGAGGCGCAGGGGGAAGCACCGCCTGTGGGAGAGACGAAAGGAGGATCAATGGAAGCGGCCAGTGGCGTGGATGTGGTGATGAGAGGTGGTGCGCGGGAGAGAGGGGTGGATGGTGCAGCGGATGCGCGGGGTGAAATGGTGCAGCAGCAAGGTGCGACGCAAGAGGCAGACACAGCGCAGGTGCAGGTAAGTGAGCAGCATGTGGCGCAGCAGGCAGTGCCGCAGGAGCAAGAACACGCACAGCAGCGGGCAGCACAAGATAAGCATGCAGTCGGGCAACAAAAGCAACAGAAGCAGCAGCAGCAACAGCAACAGCAACAAGAGCAGCAACAGCAGCAGCAGCAGCAAGAGCATGAGCAGCGAGAGGGTGCAGGGGCGGCGAGTGTTGCAAAGATGGAGGTGAGTGAGGACGAAGGCGGGCAGGGAGTGGAGGGAGGGAGGGAGGCGGATGGGGTGCAGGCGGAGAAGGATGCGGCTCTAGGAGTAGAGGCGATGGGGAAAGAAGAGACAGGGAGGGAGGAGGAGGAGAAGGAGGAGAAGGAAGAGGAGGAGGAGAAGAAGGAGGCGGAGGAGGAGGAGGAGGAGCAGGCAGGGATGGAGGCGGATGCAGTGGTGGTGGAGATTGCTCTCAGTGTGCCGGGTCTTCTAGCCCCCCATGCGCGCACGTGTGGGGACTCAGCACTGGCGGATGCAGATGCGCTGCTGCAGGGGGCGGGCAGCGTGCCACGCGCCACCTTCACACAGTATGCGAGTGGGGCACGTCCATGACCACCTCCCTCCTGCCCTCCATCGCCTGCACCTTCTGACCCACCGTGCCGCGCTCACAATTAACCCATTCACCACCCCTCCCCACGTCTCCCCCCCTCAACCTTCCTCCTCTTTGCGTCCTTTGCCTCTCGTGTGTGTGTGTGCGGGTGTGCGTGGGTGTGCATGCATGTGGTTGTGTGAGCAGGCCCATGGCATGGTGTCCCAAGGCCAACCTCATAGCCTTTCCAACGTCGCCTGCTGTGCCCAACATCAAGTGAATGCCACATCAACACTCTGCCCTCACTTCTCCCTGCCATCTCTTTCTTTCCCCTCATTCCACTTGCCCTTCACCGCTCGCCCTACCCCACCCCCCTTGTTTTCACACCGTACCTACTCTAGTTTCCAATGCTCCCATTCTTCCTCCCCCCCTACTCCTCTCCACGCTCACCAATCTCTCTCAACCCCTCTCCCCACATTCCCCACTCTCCTCCCTGCCTCTCCCCTCGCCGCAAGCCAGAGCCCCCCCTGGAGCGGCGCCTGCCTTTGTGCCGCTGGCTGTGCTGGACCCCGACCGCCCACTGCACCACTCCATGCTCAACCTCCCGGCAGGTCAGGCCCCCGCCGCCCCACTCGCCGTCTTCGCTCCCTTTCCTCCACCTCCTTCCTGGCCGTCGCCCCGTGCCTGCCCAGCAACCTGCCCCCCCTGCCTTCTCTTGCTGCCCACACAGCCGTGGCATGTGCCATGGGGATTCATGTCACATGCCACATATCTCGTGCCTCACATGCCATGGCCCATGCGTCCCCACCCAACCCCCCGTGAGCACATGCCACCCACTGTTCCTGTGGGCACCCCTCCCCACCCCAGCATGCCCCTGGAACCCCCTCTCTTTCTTTCCTGCTGCCCGCATAGTCGCCCTGCATCCTTGTGTGCTGCTAGCCCTCACCTCCCCCTCCCCCCTTCCCCCCCCCTCTTGCGTGGCGGCAGACATGCCTGGCGATGTGGTGTCAGCGGTGGCATGGTCGCCGCCCTCGTGTGACCGTGCTCTCGCCGTGCTCACCGCGCCCTCGCATGTGTCTGTGTGGGCGCAGCCTTGCGCGGTACGTCATGCCATGCGCACGCATGCGCTGCCTTATCATTGTGAGGCACCAACGTGCATTGCGTGCCACTAATAGCTTGCACGCTCTGCACGCCCCTCATCCTGCTCTTTCCTTTCCCATCCCTGACCCCCCTGCTGCCCCCAATCAAGCGCCAACTCCCCCCCTTTCAAACGTGGTGTGTGTGGCAGGGCCCGCCCAACGTGGCGCGCTGTGTGAACCGGTGGCAGGTGGAGGCGCAGTGGCAGCTGGACGCGCCCGTTGCCGCCATGCACTGGCTCGCCGCGCCGCCTCTGGTTGGAATGGGGAGGAGGGGGGGGGGAGAAGGGAGGGGAATGGAGAAAGAGAGAGGGGGGAGTGGTTTGTGAGGAGAGGGAGAGAGTGGGCAGGTGGGAAGGCAAGGGAGTGGGGATGCTGTGCTCTGACTCGTTTGCCATCGTCGCTCCGAGCATGCATGCAGCATGTTCCTTCATTCGCACTAACCTTTCACTTCTCTGTGCTCGCCGCCCTGCCGTGCACAACCCACTGCAGTACGCGTGGCCTCCTCGCCTGCCACCAGCGTCACTGCAGCCTCACTCCTTCCACGATCGCTTCTTCCAACCCCGTGCCCTCTCCCCCGGTACATTTCCCTCCCCCGGTTCGTGCCCTGCCATCCCTGCATCCTCTGCGCGTGCCAATTCCCTGGTTGCTGCACCTGCTGCTTGCGCGCCGGTCCATTCCCCTCTGCACCCGTCTCATGCTGCATGGAGTGGTAACGCTGCTCGTGAGAACAGCGTCTCCTCATCTTCTTTCATGTAAACGTTCACACGCTTGCCTCCATTCCTTTCTACTTTCTCCTCTCACCCGCCATCCTTCTCTCTCTCCCTTCCCCTCCCTTGCCCCTCCCCCGCCCAGCACCATGGCCGCGCGCGTCGCTGCCGTGCGTGGCGCTGGTCCTGCAGCCCAGCACCTTCCTCCTCCACTGGCGCTCCACGTCCCACCTGCCCCCCTCCTCCTCCCCTCCCTCACCCGCCCACCCCGCCCCCGCATCCCACCCACCGCTCCCTTCCTCTGCCTCCCTCTCCTCCTCTACCCCCGCTCCCTTGCCTCCTCCCTCCTCGCCCCAGCCCCTTTGGCTCTCGTCCCCCCCTGCGTGTCTCCCCCTGCCCCCCGGCGGGGTGCTGTCAGCCCACATCAGCATCGCGGGCCCCTCTCACTCCCTCACTCTCGTTCTCATCCCCCGCGCCTCCCCCTCCTCCTGCCTGCTCCTCCACATCCACGCCCCCCCTTCCGCCTCCGCCGCCCCCCTCGCCTCCGCCCTCTCCATCTTCTCCCCTTCCCCCCTCTCCGCCGCGGGCCTGAACCCCGTAGCAGCAGCATTGCTGCACAGAGGGGCACAGGGGGGGGGGGCAGGCGGGAAAGGCATGGGGGATGGGTGGAGGGATGGGGAAGGGGCGTGGCTTGAGGGCAGGCTGGTGGCGGAGCTGGGAGTGGGGGGTGAGGAGGGGATGGCGAGCGCGGAGGTGGGAGGGGGGGTTGTGGAGGAGACTGGTGGGGGAGGGGAGGAGAGGGGGAGGGAGAGGAGGGAGGTGTTGGCAGTGGTGGTGGATAATAGTGGGGGAGAAGGGAAGGATGGCGGCTGTATGGCAACAGTGATTGTTGCAGTGGGCGTTGGTGAGTGCTTTTTCTTGTTCTTGTGTGCGTTCCCTTTTCCTGGCTCTTTCTCGCTCCTCCCACTGCTCACACTGCTCCTTCCATGCAACCACCACCCTTCTGCCTTTCTCGCCCACAAACCCCTTTTTCTTCCTATCTCCCCCCCCTCTCTCGTGCGCAGCGCAAGGCCATGCATGCTCTGTGAGCGCACCACCAGCAGCCCCTTTAGGCGTGCCACTCTCGCACTCATCTCCTCACGCCCTCCCCACCAGCCGCCCCGCCCCCCTGTGCGGCACTCTCTCCGTCGCCATACAGCGCTGGCAGCTGCGGCAGCAGTCATCGCCCCCCCCAGTGCACCCCATCTTTGACGCGCTAGCAGCCTGCCATGCGCCCCTCTCCGCCATGCCCCCCGCCCCGTCCTTCACCTGGCACCTCGCCTCCTCCTCCCCCAATCTCGCTCTGCTGCTCGCTGCCCCTCACCACCTGCTCAGAGCGGCGCACACAGGGCCCACCGCCTCACCCACCCCCACCTCATCAGCAGCTTCGCCCGCACCACCACTGCCTCCCGCCCTGCACCCCGCCTCGCCTGCCCTTGCTCCCCCCACCACGCGCGACCGTGCCATGCCTGCCATTTCCCTCCAAGTCTCTCCCACTGGCGCTGAGCTTGCGGTGACGTGGCGCAGCACATTCACACCTCAGCTCCAGCAGCAGATGGATGGGAGCAGCGCTCTGGTGGATGCTGTTGCTTCTGATGCCGCCGCCGCTGCGACCGGTGTCACGGCCGCTGCGACTGGTGCCAGTGTCCGTGGCGAGGTGGCTGCCTCTCACCACAACCCCTTGGCAAGCCCCGTGATCGCATCCTCACCCGCGCCCCCGCTCTCCCTGGCGCCCTGCTCCGCCATCATCCTCCTCTCCAACCCCTCCCTCCGAGTGCTCTCCATTACCACCCTCCCACACCACTCCCCCCTCCCCCTCTCCTCGCCTCCCCCTCTCGCCTTCTCCCCCTCTGCCTGCTGCATAGCCACTGCTTGGACCACCCCCTTTCAGCAGCAGCAGCAGCAGCAGCAGCAGCAGCAGCAGCAGCATGTGGTGGTGCGCATATCCCAGGTGCCTCACCTGCCCCTCCCTCTCTTTGCCAGTGACGCACAAAGGGACGCAGGACAGGTGGTGCCTGCTGCTGCGGGGGTGGGTCCTTGTAATGGAGACGCTGGGGGAAATAAGCAGAGAGAGGCAGGACGGGTGGGTGGGCAGGGTGTGGAGGAGGGGGGGGAAGGGAAAGAGGGGCGAGGAGGGATGGCGTCGTGGGAGCGACATTTGGCTGACAGGTGAGTCGCACATGTTATGTGATGCACGATGCACGATGCACGATGCACGATGCAGCTGACCGTGATGGATTGGAGTCCAGTGCAGCTGCGTTTTGGACCATGCATGTAGTGGTGCGCAGCTGACCGCGATGGCCTGTGAGCGCAGTGCCCCCGTCATGTCTTGCCCCGTCCCTGCCTCTGTCCCTGCTGCTACCTGTGTGGCGTGTGGTCCGGGCACGGTGTGAGCAACAGAGTGCAGTGGGCGTGGGTGAGCGGCATGTCATGGTGGGATGCTGCTGCCTCCGCCACTGCTGCTGCGCCGCAATCGCCAGGTGAGAGACGGCGGTTGGCTGTCCACTGCCATACCATACTACTAGCTTGCCTTCAATGCTCTCTGTTGTTCCTGCAGGCCTGTATACACGCCTTGAAACACATCTGACGTGCGTCTCATTTGTGGATGCATGTGTGTGCATTTTGCATGTGTGCCACGCCATGCGTGCATGTGTGGCGGGGTGATGGTGGGTATGCGTGCGGTGCGGCCATGCAGTGCGGGGCACGGCTCTCTTGGCGCATCTGGACGCTGACTTCCATGCGCTGCCCGACGCCGCCCTGCGCCTGCACTACTTCGCTGTCAGCACCGCCCCCGCTCCCTGCTACTCTACCCGTGCCTTCCTCTCTCTCCTGCTTCACTTGCCCTTCATTCTCCACCTCTCAGTATCCTTACGCCTCTTTCTATTCCGCATCCCCTTCCTCCGTCCCTCTTCTTTCTGTGAACCCCGTCACATCACACCGCCCTCCGCGTCCCCCCCTTTTTTCCGCGTGGCATCACTGCATGTGTGGTGGGAGCGGTCTGCAGGAGCTGGACCGCCTCAAGTGCCGCGTGCTGGAGGGCATGGGCGGGGCGGACGTGCGGGCGGTGATGCTGGACGTGCAGGCGCGCGTGCTGCTGGAGGTGCTGGGCGGCGCCATCGAGTCGGCGCTCGTCAACCCGGCCACGCTCATCCCCTCGCCGTGGACGGCGTCCGCTGAGACCTTCTCGCAGCTCGGGAACGACGCCATGTCCGTCGACCCCGCGCTCATCCCCACCATCCATGTAACGCCCTGCCCTCGCTGCCATGCCATGCTGTTCCGTGTGCCCTCTGCTTTCCCGTCGCTGGCCCTGCCCTCGCTGCCTGGTGTTCCACCCACCAAAACTCCGTTCGTGCCGTCCTCCCCCTTCTTCTCTCCCCCCCTTCCCCCCCCAGGCGTACGTGGACTCGGTGCTGGACCTGGTGTCGCACTTCCTCACTCGCCTGCGTCGCTACTTCTCCTTCTTCAAGACCCTCACCGCCCACGCACATGCCTCCGCCTCCGCCTCCAACACCCCCCCTGTCCCCCTACCCTCTGCCGCCGCCCCAGCTGCTGCCGCTGGCACCGCAGCCACTACTGCTGCTGCTGCTGCTGCTGCTGCTGCTGCTGCTGGCAGTGCTGCTGCTGGTGGTGGTGGTGGAAGTGCAGCAGCGGCAGGAGCAAGCGCGCCTGCAGCGAGCTCCGCCCACCCCCCGTCCACAGCCTCGCACCTGCCGTCCGCGTCGCCCTCAGCGTTCTCAGGGCTGCCGGCGGTGCGGCTGCTGGCGGACCCGCACTTCCTGCACCGCCTGTGCCAGCTCATGTTCTTCTGCCTCGTCTTCCGCCGCCGCAGCCCACCCCCTGCCGCCTCCAAGGCCGGCGCCGCTGCCGGCGCTGCGGGGGGCATGGGCGTGGGGGTCGGGGGGGGAGCGGAGGGTGCAGGGGGGGGCATGCGGGCAGGGCTGGGGCGGTCAATGGAGGACAGGCACGTGCGGCTGGGGCATGGGAATGGCGGTCTGGGGTACACACCGGAAGAGGTGAGGGGGGCAGCAGGGGGTGGGGCAGGGGCCAGGGCGGATTTGGGTGGCGGGAAGTGAGGGTGAGCGAGCGAGTGGGGGACAGCGACGAGAGTACGAAGGGGGAGGATGGGAGATGTGTGCATGCACCGGTGCATGATCGGAGAGGGAATTAGGTGGGGTCGAGTGGGTGAGCGAGGGAAAGAATGAGATGCTTCAGGGTAATCTCTCAGATGCCTTGGAATGATGGCAGGGAGGCGGAGAAAGCTTCAAGGGTGCTTCCCCCCGACGTCCTTGTGTGTGCGTGCAGGTGAAGGCTCTGTTCGTGGTGTGCTCCGAGCTCTGCAAGAAGACAGCACCGCTGCCCGCCACCATGCCGCCCACCCACGTCCCCTCCACGCCCATGGCTGGCTGGGCGGCAGGGGCAGCTGGCAGCGGTGGTGGGGGAGGGAGCGGTGGGAGTGGCATGGTGGCGCGGCTGCACTACCCGCATGGCTCCATCTCTGTGCCTCCTGAGTCCATTGAGGCCTGGCTCTCTCCCCAGATGCAGGTAATTGTGCACCATGCGCATACGCCCGCATTCTCTCCACAAATCTGCCTCTTTTTCCCCCTTTCACGTTTCCCTCTGGGTTCCCTTCTCTCTTTCGCCCTCGACCCCTGTTTCGGCCCTCCGTTATGCTGCGCACGTCACTGCTGTGTGCCCCTGAGTGCCTTGTGTCCTACCGTCGCTTCATGCACGCCTCCCCCGCATCACCCCTTCCCTGCGCCCCAGTCCCTGCCGCGCCCCCGGGGAGCGGACGCCGCGGCGCTGCTCATGCGCGAGCTGGAGCTGCACGCCCCCGCTGAGGACACGCTCCCCCGCCCCTCCCTGCCGCCCCCCTGGGCCTCTGTGCCACCCTGCGCTCAGCTGGTGGGCGGCGAGGGGGACTGGTGGGAGGACGATGAGGATGAGGGGGAAGAGGAGGGAGAGAAGGGGATGTGGGACGAGGGAGAGGAAGGAAAGGAGGGGGGTGACGGGGAGGGATGGAGGGGGAGCGGAGGAGAGCGGAGGCAGCCTGGGGATGGCGCAGAGGTGCAGGGCAAGAGGCGCTTTGCGAGTCCCTCGGGGTTCAGCAGGCATGGCAAGCGGAGGAGGGTGGATGGGGGAGATGGAGGGGTGAAAGGGGAGGAGAGGGAAGGGGGCGAGCGAGAGAGGGGGTGGGGAGGGAGCAGGTGGGAGAGAAAGCGGAGCCGAAGAGAAAGATTGGGTGGAATGGGGAGGAGGATGGAGCGGGCATGGTGGGCGGCGGAGGGAGTGAGGAGGAGGAGGGCAGGGAGGGGGAGCTGCATGGAGGGGGGCATGTGGGGCAGGGATGCGTCGCTGGTGGCGGGAGGGGTGGGGGCAGGGCGAGTGGGGGTGTGGCCTCGGAAGAGGCGGGCGGCGGAGCGGGATGCGGCAGTGGGGCTTGCGTGCAGTGCAGGGCTGGGGGGCTTCCTGGGGCTGGTGGGGGGCCGCAGGGACGTGGTGGGCAGCACGTGGAAGTGGGCGGGCACGGCGCAGTGGTACAAGGTGAGCCGGGGGAGGCACGAGGGTTGCATTGCAGCACTGGTGCACGCCCCTGCAACTGAAGGTCCTGGGCTAAACAGTTTTTTAATCCGTCCCCTTCCCATTTTTAGTTTCTGTGCTACGGAAGCAATTGTTGAAGCTGTAGAAGCAAGGCAGGAGGGTCTTCTGTGCTTGGAGTTGTGGCTATGCACCTCTCCCCATCCGCCTGCACCTCTCCCCATCCGCCTGCACCTCTCCCCATCCGCCTGCACCTCTCCCCATCCGCCTGCACCTCTCCCCATCCGCCTGCACCTCTCCCCATCCGCCTGCACCTCTCCCCATCCACCTGCACCTCTCCCCATCTGCCTGCACCTCTCCCCATCCGCCTGCACCTCTCCCCATCCGCCTGCACCTCTCCCCATCCGCCCGCACCTCTCCCCATCCGCCTGCACCTCTCCCCATCCGCCTGCACCTCTCCCTCTTCCCTTGACATGTGTGTGCAGTGTGTGCGGTGTGGGCGGCAGACCACCACCATGGCTGGGCCTCAGGGCGCAGTCCCACAGTCGGGCACAGCAGGTGGGGCAAGGAGCAGCCGCCCTGCAGATGGGGGCAATGGCGGCACAGGCAGTAGTCTGGCTGCGGAGTGGTGGCCTGCTCGCTGGTCTCAGGGGTGCCCTGTGTGCGGTGGCCAATGGACTTGTCTTGCTTGATTATTCCTGTTCCATGTTCAATGTTGACAGCTATATTTCTGCAAGATCTAGCTAATGTCGTCTTCAAGAAAGCAAGTGCTCAGTTTCCTGGAACAAATCCTGCATGGACTTTTTAAGAGATCAATGTTCAGCTGCAACTAAGTTATGAGCACAAGACTTGTACCGTGACTGGGACTACCTACAAACAATCTAGGGAGGGCAACGGCATTAACTCTGTACACAAAGCACAGGCTGGTCTGTCAGCTTCTGTCCGTCCACACCCAGAAGTGCCTCTTCACGCCCAGGGCACGCTGTTCACCGTCACTCGCACTGCCCTGCGCCTCGCCCTCACTTGAACACACTGCCCCCCTGCTCGCCGCACCTGCACCACCTCGCCCGCATGGCCTGGGCCCGGGCTCGCCGGTCGTGCTGGCGGCCCACAAGCATGGGCCGTCCCCCCTGACAGCGGCGCACCTGTGCAGCGAAGCGTGCGCCTTGTCCTTGTCCTCGCCCTCGTTCTCCACGGTGCAGAAACTCGCGTCGGGCAGGCCCGCCACCACGGCGCCCACCACGTGGATCTCGTACTGCGTGCGCAGCCCCGGGTACGAGAACGAGTCGCGCTCCTCCACCTGCCGCCGCAGCGTGTCCGCCAGCACCGTCACCCGGTCGCTGGCCCCGAGGTCATCCCCCAGCTCCTCGAGAATGCCGCGCCGGCACGCGTCCAGAGGGTTCTCCGTGGGGCGCATCTTCTCGGAGAGCGGGCGATTCCTGGCGCGCACCGTACCGTCCGCCATCTCCTGCATGGCCTCCACCAGCACCCTGCCCGTGCGCGCGTGCCGCACGTGCACGCTCACCACGCTCACCTTGCGCAGCGGGGGACTGGAGTCCACCAGGCACACCTCGCCCTCCGTCAGCTCCTGCCACAGGTTCGCCACCCGCTTCGTGCCCCGCTCACTGCCCCACCTCTCCAGCACCGCCTTGCCGCCCGGCAGCCTCGCCTCCAACCATGCCTGTAGCTGGTCCACATCCCCAATGTCGGCCGCCGTGACTGTGGCGGGTTCATTAACCCCCGCGTCCATTAGCCTGTACGTGGACGGAGACGATGCCGGAGAGAGCGGCAGGCAGGTGGCAGTGGACGTGGAGAGAGCAGCAGTGGCGCCGATCAGCCGATACAGATTTCCCGACAACTGGCCAGTCAAGACAGCAAGAAGACCCACGGCTCCGCTCCACGTAGAAAAGCCTTGCCCTAAACTGCCCGGAACCAGCTTGGGAGACGCAGAGCCCTCTTCTGGTGTCCGCCTGGTTCTGTCGCCCGGGTCGATGCTATTGAAGCCCGCCACAGACGGCAGTGAATGTAACTGGTTCAGCGGGGCCTGATCGCTCGTCACACCTGCGGTCCTCGGTGAGACAGCAGAAGCAGCTACCGATGGCCTACGCTGCGGTCTAAGAGAGAGAGGCAAGAAGGCGGGCAGAGTATGTGTATGGCTGGGCGATCGAACGATAGGTCTGTGTATCTTATTCCCTGCGCTAACCGAGGTCTCCCTGTGATCAAGACGGCCCGGATTCAGGTCAAGGGGAATGGCGGACAACGGTCTTCCACAGAGGTCTGCTGGCTTCTCGCGGTGAAGTGCTGAGTCTAACGGGCTCAGGCTGTCCTCAAAGCTGGTCTCCGGCTCCTCTGCGGAAGGGTGGAACGCCCTCGATCTTAACTTCCCTGAGCAGCAACGGCTTGCCGAGGACCCATGTTGAAGGCACACAAACGGCGACCAGGTGAAGGAGCCACCCCGCAGTAACCGCGTTGCAGCTGAGGGACGAGAGAAGACGGGAATCCTGATATTTACAACAGCACCGCGCACGCGTACTTGAGCACCAGAGACGACCGGGATGCGGCAGGTAGCCTCCTCGAACACGGCCAGGTGAAACATTTAGACTTGGGCTGAGATACCTCTAGAAAACGCTTCTAGAATCACCCAGCGGACCCGCAAGTCAGTGAAAAAAACGGAGGGTCACAGCAGCCATTCGCGTGCTCAACGCAACCCAAGGTGACCAGTCCTGGTGGTAGGATGGGAGACGAATGGATGTAGCGCATGCCCACCACGAGAGAAAGCGAGGAGACCGTCAGGGAAACCGTGACTCAAGGAGCAAGCAGTAAGGAGGACGGCGGGGGAAGCCGTTCTCTCCTCGTGCAGGGCTGTGCTAGACACTCCCCACATGGTGTGCACCTGAGCAGCTCCAACCTCGGGTCGGACCAGGAACATCCAGCGAGGTGCGGCGAGTGGACGGCGTTGGTCGGGGAGATGCCAGGAAGCATTCTCCTGCGCGAATGGGAGTGGCCCGACGGATTGAGGATGCCATGTGGACAGCAAGAGCCCGACCACGTCAGAGCACCTCATCTTGAACGACAATCATTTTGCTCAAGACTCATCAATGCGTTACGTGGAGTTCACGACACAAGCAATCCCAACAGTGCTGTAGAAGCATTACACGGCCAAGCTATTGCTAAACTCTAAAAACCCGAGGGAAACATAAAGTACAATACATCATCAAACACAAAACCCCCTTTCTAAAATTCATTCGTTTGTGCCGTACGGTTATTATGGTTTAACATACAGGTTACCTTGAGGCACCAAGAACAAGCGGTCCTTAAGTTATCTCTTCCCACACAACTTAGTGCAATATGTGGTGTGTGAACCATCAACACCTTGCAGCAATTGGTACCACCAGCAGAGCGACATGACTACGTTTCCAGACACTACAGTGCGGTAACAGGTTCTGTATAACTGTGGGATGGCACCCCATGAGGCTTCAACACAGTGTCACTTGCTGTACAGGACCAAGTGGGCCCTACACATCACTCACCAACAGGTTGATTGGTTGGAGGAGAGAGGATGGAAGCAGCCTCTTAAAGAAGGGAGAGGAGGTGGGAGGATACAAGGCAGGCGAAGGAGGGATCCTCAGAGAGATGGAAGGGTGCAGGGAGGTGGAGCAGGGAGGCATGATACAGTGTGGGTTCAGTAGGACATCTCTGTGGCGTCGGAGCGCGTGGACACATGCTTCGTGATCCACATGGCGATGTCCTCCGCACATGCCTCTGCCTGTGGCGTGTTCACCATGCCCTCGTACGTTGCAAACCCATGCACCACGTCCTTGTAGCTGTTCACCTGCACCACACGAATACGCACAGCGCACATGGAAACGCAGTGATGGGTACAGTTGGCTGCAAGAGCTAATCCTGGCCATAAAGCAGTTCAACACCAGAACCCCACTGACGTGGTGCTACAAGGCACACGCATGTCACATGCCCCCCCCCCCCCTCCCCCTTGTGCAGGGGTCACCTGCACGTCGATGCCGAAGTTCTTGAGGAAGACGGAGTAGGCGATGGCGCGGTCCGTGAGGATGTCGTGGTCCGCCACCACCAGCAGCGTGGCCGGCATGCCCGGGGGCAGGTGCTCGCGCAGCAGTGGGTTGACGGCGGGGTGGTCGAGGGAGAAGTCGTCGTCGGGCAGGAAGAGGCGGAACACCAGCTCGCACGTGGGCTTGTCAAAGAAGTAGGCGTCGCGCGCCTTCATCTCACTCGGCGTCGGCATGGACCCTGCAAACAGAGGGTACAGCAGCACCTGCATGGCCCCACAGGGGGCAGTTGGAGGGAGGATCTTCAGTGATTGGGTTGATGAAGAGGCGGCGGCTACAACCACCCCAAGCTCATGGCACGCTTCTCCTCTTCACTCACTCGCCCCACCAAGCCCACCTGCCCTTTGCCTGTGCCCCACGACTCCTGCCTACCTGCCCGAGCACCACGAGTGGCTGCAGCTCATTCACCCCATGCGGAGTCACGCAGCGCCGAGCCACCTGGTCTGCCACGTTGGCGCCCGCACTCACGCCCAGGAGCACGCACCTGAGGGAGGGAGACGGACGGAGGACACAGGCAGGTGAGAACGGGGCTGGGACGATGCATGATGCACATGTGGTGGCCAGTGGTGGGAGCAGAGCAACATGCGTGCACTGCATTTGCGAAAGAATGAAGGGTCATGTGCGGGGAAGAGAGGAGACGCTTGATGCGTGCATGCGCATGTGTGCCGTCACCTGTGCACGTCAGCATGTGCGGCGAGCCATGGGTCTGGCAGCTCCTGCACCAGCCGCGTTGTCACTCCCCGCATCTCATCGCCCACTCCCTGCTCCCCGCCCTGCTGCATGCATGCACACATGCGCACACGGACACCAGAGAGATGGGCAAGAACATACAAGTAGACACGGTGACACACACAAACAACCCCACATCCCGCACACATTTACGTGCACACAGAGAAGTGTCAGTATGCACACATGAGGGCAGTGCTGGCGGAGGTGATGGATAAGTTTCAAAAGGAGATGGCAAGGCAGGGTAGGAGGAAGGTGGCACAACCCATCCCGCATTTCTCGTGCTTTTAAGGTGACACGCCCACAACCCACATCCCAGCACGCGCCACCCGTACCCCGTGCCCTGGCGGTCACCTGCGCGTGCGAATTGCGCACGTCGGCCTCGGCGTCCGCGAGGATGGCCTGGCGCGACAGCCACTTGAGCACCTCGTACCCGTCGTCGTACGCCGCCGGGCACTTGTGCTCGGGCGCCAGCCGGTACCCCACGGCCACCACGATCGCGTTGCACACCTGCGGGGGCACGCGCAGGGCCCGGGGAGAGGCGCAGAGCAGTGGGGGGGAAGTGCGCATGTGCACGTGGAAGGGTTGGGGTGAAGCGGAGGAAGAGAGTCGAGGCCATTGACATGCGAGAGTCGTGCAATGGCACGGGCAGCATGCAAAAGCAGAGGTTTAGCAAGTCCAACGACATTAGCATGAAGAAAGAGACGGCTGGGTCGTGGAATGGCGGTTGGAGCATCTGGACAAATCCGATGGCCTCCGCTTGCAGCACGGTGAATGGCGAAGCTAGGCATGGAAACAAGCAGCCTCATGTAACCACGGCATCTCCCCTCCCGCCAGGATGGATAAGACGGCTGTGAGGGCAAGGGGGGTGTGGGGGGGGGGGAAGAGAGGAGGGGGTACCCGTGCGAGTCGTCGGCAGAAGGTATCATTGCAGGCGGAGTCCTTGCTGCCGGTCACGAACGCGCCCTCGTGGAATTGCACGATCACCGGCAGCTGGTGGTTCGCGCCCGACGGATTCGGCACGTACCCCGTGTACGGCCCGCCGCCGCTGCCGGCTGCACCCTCCTGCTCCTCATCCGCCGCTCCATTGCCGTTGCCCGACCCTGCGGCATCGCCGTTGGCGCCCTGCCAGAACTGCTCGTTGGCGTCGCCGGGCGGCGGGAACCACTCGCTCGCCGTGCCCATGCGACGCATCATCCACCCGAATTCGTTTATTCTGCCCGGCTGAATGGCGCAAGCCGGCAAAAATATTCGAACGCTCAGACCCGTGTTGTCGTTGATCCTCACATCTTTAGTCGCGACGCCTTCAGAGAACGAGGCATTCGGGCGAACGGCATTCACGGGCGGTCTCGATACTTTGCTGATATCCTTCTGAGCAAGCGCGCGCCCGAATCTGCTGCGGAGGCCGGCTTTGAAGTTGTAACTCTGCCACCCGGCAGAAAACGAAGCCATATGCAGTATGCTTTGAAGATCACCAGGATCGTGAATCGACGATTGCGAATGGAAGGAAAGTACCGCTGTGGAGTGACTAGATTCGGTGGTGGCAGAAGTATCAGGGAACCTAAAATGTGCAGGTCAAGGCCATAGTCTGAGCTACAACAAGTCCTGCCTGTAGGAATGAGAAGGCTAAGATACCGTAAAGCGTAAGAAGAGCTGCGTCAAACGTTCGATCGAAGCTAAGTTGCTTGACTCTAGCAGGAGCAGCGGCGATGGAGGTATGCCTAGGCGATTATGTTATGTGAATCTGAATCGTGGGAGTCGTGCTTTCGTGTCTTGATTGGGTTGTTTGTGAACCGTCTGGAGGGCCCGGTCCCCGAAGCCTCATCCAAGCAACAACGCCGCCGAGGGACAAAGAAAGGGGGTAACTTGAAGATTAGCAAGACGATCCTCGAAATGACCCTGATATTGCAAGTGCAAAGATTATGATTTGGAGTAAGGGGGAGGCGGAGGCGAAAATCAACGCGTGGGCCAGCACCTTCTCTGGAGCAGGCAAAATTGGAGGGTTACTCAATTTTACAAACGCAGCTTTGATTGTCGGAAACAGAGTAAACATCCTGCCACTCGCAGGTTTGTGTGTTACACAGCTACAGTTGAGGGCTTCGCGAAGAAGGCTGCCGCGTGGTGCCAAGGTTACTTTGAGTTCGCACGCAGCTCTCCCAAGGTGGTTCCCAGCGGTTCCCCAACGTGGCGGGGGACGCCCTGGAGAGCCCAATGTGCTGAGCTGTCAGAGTGCGATACGCACTGCCAGTGGCCGTTGGGCTATCAGCCTGTCGCAAACACAGATGTCGCCAAGATTGCTCGCACGACGAAGGGCGTGGATGGCTCGACTTGGTAACAAACACTGCAGGGTGCCCAACATCGCTTGCCCTCCTATCGAGGACAAAAGCTTCGCGGCTGGGAATTTCAAAGCGGAGCGCGCTGGTCGTTGAAACAGTGAGCGGCTCGGCTGCCCAACCTCTCCCATCGATTCCCTCCCCTGTCTGCCCTGCCACGTCCATCAGTGGCATCTCAAGTCGAGAGACGAGACCCGAGAGAGCAGGTGAGAGGAGACCTCATCTCCGAACCCCAACTCACTCCAACCAAGCCAAGGGCACCAAGCCAACCCGTCGCACCTGAGTAGGCAATTGGTTACAGGGACTTCCAAACGGACAGACATCGATTAGGCTTCACTCCTTTCTGGCGTACGCGTTCGTAAAGTTCGTCGCATGGTTACCGAGGAGTCCCTTAGTTCTGAGAGGCGCACAGCAGCCGATCGAGCGAGTTCAGTACTCCCTATTGTCGATCGTTTTTAATAAGTGCTCTTGCGGCCTATGCTTGAAGGCAAACCAATGCTTATAGGACCAATCTACGTTCACCCTCACGCAAGGAGTTAAAGGCCATGCAACGGGGCGGCATGGCCACGATGGACTCAAAGCCCATAAGATCGAAGCTAGACGGCGAAGTAGCGCACTTACAACGGATACTGGTAGAGCAGCAGGAGGAGAAGGAGTTAGAAATACAGGCGTTGAGGGAGACATTAAACCAGATAGTGACGCGGCATGCGGAGGAGCTTCAGGCAGTGAACAGCCGGTGGGAGGGGATCGTGGGCACACTCAAACAGCACGGCGATGGGCAGCTGCCAGGCGGCGGAGCCCAGATAACGGATCAAGCAGCGTTTGCCAAGAAGCTAGCCGCTCGAGCAGCAGCGGCAGCCCTAGCAATAGATAGAATAAACCCTGCGCTAGACTCCTGTGCGGCTTACCCGATGGAAATCAGCGCAGTGCGGTGTCCGCATTGCGGCTGTGACATCGCTGACACTCGGCGGGACGCAGAGGAGCGAGAGATATGCATGAGCAGTGAGGAGCGGGAGGGAGAGAGGGGGCGAGGCGGAGTGGTGAAGGGCGCTGACGTGGTTGTAGTTCCGGACGAGCGGAGCAGAGGCAGGAGTCGAAGGCGGAGTAGACGACGGAGCACAGCGTCAGGCCACAACAGCAGCAGCGGAAGCTTCAGAGGCAGCAGCAACGATAGCAGTCGGCCCAGCCAACGGTGTAGTAGCAGCAGTAGAAGCAGTAGCGGTAGTCGACGAGAAGAGAGCCAAGCATTGCGGGAGCAAGTGGACGAGTTAAGTCGGGAGCTGGAGAGAGTGCAGTCGCAGCTGTGCATCACACGCCGTCGCCTCACGGACTCCCTTGTGCAACTGCAGGTGTCGTGCGCTGATGACGCCGCAGCTGGCCTCATTAGCGTAGACGCGCCTCCTGCAGCTCTTGCGACCCGTACCATGAACCTAGTTTCATTGTGTGACTTTGGGTGGTCCAACCATAGCGCGGTAAAAGATCTGCCAGAAGGTGTGGTTCGGCTTAGCGGGGTAGGTCGCTGCGCGGACGGGGCTCGGCAGGCGAACGAGGCGTGGCTGTTGGAGCTGTTCGTGTCGCAGGTGCACCGCGTGGCCGACTGCATGGAGGCGTACTGCGGGAAAGTAGCCCGGCGCCTCTCACGGCAGGGGTATAGAACGGACCACTTAGTGCTGGAGATGATAGGAGGAAGGGCCGCGCACCATGCGGACGATGGCAGCGGGGCGGGTAGCGACGCGGAGAGCTGCCATAGCTACCCGCATGGTCGGCGGCGGGGGCGGCATCGCAGCGAGTGTGCGTCGCTGCTGGACTGCGTGCTGAACATCGCCAGCTGCGTGCTCTTCACGGACTTCGAGGCCGAGGACTTCGTGCGCGCGGGCTTCAGCCGCCTGCTCAGCAACGACGAGCGATGCGCCGTGAAGCTCGCCAAGTTCCTAGCGCTCAGGGAGAAGGACCGCGTCCTCAGAGGAGCGCTCGACCCCAACCGCGAGGCCAAGTTCGCCCACTTCTGCGCGCGCCGCCTGGAGGAGCTGGGCGAGTGGCTGCAGGCGGCGGCGCTGGCGGGGGGACGCGAGCTGCCAGACGAGCGCATGTCCATAGCGCTGCTGGGCGACGAAGGCGACGAGTTCGCTGCGGCGTCGGCCGACTTCGTGAGCCTGTGCCGCGCCGTGCTCGCCCTGCACGAAGCCGCGTGGTCCTTTGGCTGCCCTCTCCGCATCTCCCGCATCCCCCCCAACGTCCTGTTTGATTCAGCTTTGATGCGGCCCTATGCGTGGACAGACGCGAGTGGTTCGTTAGGTGAACCTGGAACAGGTGCAGCGGGGGGGTTCAGCTCAGCTGCCAACATTTTTGGCGCAGCTTCAGACGCCTTCAGAAGCGGGTTGGTGAGCAGCTCAAAGAATGGAGGAGGTGGCAGCAGTGGGAGTGAGGGCGGCGTTTTGGTGACATCACAACTGGTCCCTGCTTTTCTGACAACTCATCTCGTTGTGCAAGGAGTGGTGGTGACCAGAAAGCCTACACAGTAGCACTAATACGTGTCATAGCACTTTACTGACTCCATAACTCTAACTAACTCTCCAGGACATGATAATGAAGTTTAACATCCGCTACCGTATTTCATTCACTGACCACTGATGTTACGTAATTCACTTCGATTGTACAGAATAAAGTATGGAAAATTGAGAGCATTTCTGCGTCTGAGTGTTGCCAAGGTTGCTATTTTGCCACAAGTGCATTGATGCCAGAGCTTGATCACCATTCGTTCTCGCCCAGAGTTGATTTCGCAGTTCTCATCAAACGTTTCCCAGTACTCCTGGTAGTCCCATCAGAAGTAGGTTTCCCAGCGCAGACTCCAAAGGGATTCTGTCAAGTCCAATCAAGCGATCTGAGCCGAGGAAGAGAGGCAAGAAAGTGGAGGGGAAAGGCCTAGCCCATCGCGAGAGAGGCAGGCAGGATACCCACCCCGCGCTTCCCTTTCCTTCCCGCCTTCGCCCGCGTCGCCCCATCATCTACGTCTGTTTTGCTTTCAAATTCCCATCAGCCATTCACAATCCATTTCCTCAAATCTTCCCGCCCTGCCTGCTCCAACCATTGTCAGATTTGCTCCGAAGGTTTTGTCAAACCGATGTGCCCAACAACACCAGCACCAATCAACAACTTTCTCTGCCCAATGATATCTCTGAGACAACTGCCCTGATCGAAATTGTGCTTCTTCGTGAGCCATCGTGACTCTTCCTTGATTCCGCGAAACTGCTAACGGTTACAAGAGGTCCTCGCCAGTCGTAATTGCGGGCTTGGTAGATCTGCCCGTCGTACAGTCGCAAGTTGACCCGCCCGCAGGACTACTGAGGTGGCTGGCGGAGCGGAGAGAAATTGGCGCTTCATGCGAGCTGCCATTCGTGCTGACTGCTTGGTTTCCCCCTCTCTTCTGGAAACTCACAACGCAGAAGCACCAGTTACCTAAAGGATTAGGTAATAGGAATAGTTGACCCACCATGGCTGGTGCAAGCGCGAGAACAAGCGACTTATCACGCGTCATGCAGCGTGTATCGGAACTTCATGGCGGAATTACTAACGCCATCGAGCGGGCTATTCGCGATGACTTTTACTCCGCCAATGACCGGCGCAGGTAATAGTGCCATCCATTTTCTGGCGCGCTGCTGGCTCTGAATCACTGGTTGCTCTGCTTTGCGTACACTCGCTTCGCGCCCTTACGCTTCTTCCACGTATTTTGCAACACTAGTTTAACCAGATTATCATCGCACCGGCAGGCCTGATCTGTGTTAGCGGGCAGACACGCTGGGGTGCAGTGGCGCGTAAGGCGTTCCCCCCGACGCCGTGCACCCGTCGGTCAACCTCAGCAGACTATCTGTCGCTCGTGTCCCTAAGAGCTGTCACGTTGTTCTTGACTTTTTCGTGTTCTCTGTTTGCATCCATTCGGTTAGTGTCTGGCAATCCCGCCTGTGGCTGGTTGAGACGGGAAGTGGGAGCGTGGAGTCTGTGCTGCTGCGATAGAGTGTGTGAGCGATACATGTTTCAGTTGTGTGCAATCTATGTTCGATTCTCTGCGATTGTGTGCGATTTATGTGTGCGACACGGTTTGCTGTGTGCTGCGTGGTGCAGCGGCGCGCCGCTACTGGAGGTGGAGGACGGGCCGCAGCCGATGGGCGCCATTGGCGGGGATCCGCGGCTCGACGGCGCGTCGGTCCGCCACGAGGGACTGGCGCTAGAGAAGAACGCGGAAGCGCGTAGCCTCGTCGCCGTGCGCAACGCGCTGGAGGAACTCGAGGCGCATCTGGAATCGCTGCAGGTACGGCCTTTCCTTTCCGCTCCGTGCGCCGCGCTTAGATGCCCAAGCCCGTCGCTTGTTCTTTCCCGCGCATCGCTTCGTTACGTCCGTTGTTCCTCGTCGTTCCTTTCCGTCGCCATGCCCCCCCGTCTGGTCGTCTCCCCCCGCGCTCCCCGAGTAGGACGTGAGTCCGGCGGAGCGGGAGCTGGCGCTGATGGCGGTGGAGGGCAAGCGGCAGGAGCTGCTGCAGCACCTGCTGGCGCACCAGGGCCGCGAGTGGCAGGTGAGGGGGGGGAGGGAGGCCCGGGAATGTGCGCCGATGGGCAAGCGACGTCAGCAGTGGGTTGTGGTGCGAGACATGTGTGTGCTTTGGGCAGCATGCAGTGACGCGTATGGTCGTACGCCATGCGCATCTCGGGCTGCTTGTATGCATCATAGTTACACGTTCGCACCTCTCCCCTCGCCGCCCTCCCCCCTCCACCCCCCCCCCACGTCGTGACGCCGAATCAGGTGGTTCAAGAGCTGCTGGGCTTCATCGGCGACACGTCAGCGCCGCGCACGGACCTCACTCTGCCGCCGTACACACACCCCACGGCGCCCGGCCCGCTGGCGCCGCTGTACCACACGTTTCACCAGCAGCAGCTGCAGAACCACCCACCCTCCTCCCTCGCCACGCCGCTGCCCGTGCCCCGCCGCCCCGCGCACGACCCGCCGCAACAGCAGACGACCCCGCAGGCCAAGGCGGTGGCGCAACCGCAGCAGGGCAGGCATGCGGAGCCCCGCTCGCACTCTCAGCAGCAGCGGCAAACTCCCGAGCAGCAGCAGCAGCAGCGGCGGGGGCAGCGCGCGCCGCAAGGGCCGGCGGACTCGTCGTCGAGCATGTCGTCGTCGCGGCTGCTCGGCGCGCAGTTCGGCCCCGCATCGTCCACGTCGTCGCCCGCGCAGGACGACGGCGAGGTGGAGCACGCGCACGGCAAGAAGGGGACGCGCGCGGGCCAGGCGCGCGCGTGTAGATTGGCGCACATGCAGCAGGGGAGTGGCGGAGGGGACGCGGGGAGGCAGGTGCGCACAATGGTGAGCGGAGAGGAGGGGTGGTGGTCGGAGGGGACTGCGCACACGGGGACGTGTGGGGGGTGCATGCGCGGTGATGCGAGTGGCAGCGAGAGGGAGGAGCAATCTTGGGGGAGTGAGGGAGTTGGGGCAAGGGGAGAGGGGTCCGTGAGCTGGCAAGGCACTCATGGTGACGACAGCAGCACCGCTTGCATGTGCTGCAGTGCTGCTGCCGCCGCTGCTGGTGAGCGGAGCAGTGGGTTCACGAGCAACAACAGCCCATGTGGGTACTTGCCAACAGCACCAGGCAGGCCGGGCAGGTCTGCTGCAGGCGCCATGGCTGCGTCTGCCTCTCGCCCCTCCGCGGCTCCTCCCGCCCCCACGGCCCTGCTGGAGTCCCTCGTGCACCGGGTCCTGCTGCCGTCCTGCCAGCGCGCCGCAGGGGCCATTTGGGGCGGATGCCGCATGGTGCTGGGAAGGGGCGGGCGAGTGGGCGCACAGGTGGCCATGGTGACAGTGGGGGTGTGCCTGGGCGTGGGCGTCACTCTTGCCGCACGCCACCACCTCCCACTGCCGCACAGCATGCGACAGCACAAGAAGCAGCACGGCAGTGCAACGGGGAAGAGCAAGCTACAGTCCCTGCCTGCTGTGTCTGCCTCTAAGCTTGCAGCCGCAGCTGTGGTAAGCAGCCCCCCTGCTGCCACCCAATCATCGCACACTACCAAGGCCGCCCCCAGCCCCCCTCGCCTCACGGATGTCTCCCCTACCGCTGCTGCTGCCGTAGCCGCCGCTGCCGCCGCCGCCGCCGCTGCTGCCACCCAGAGAGCGGGTGGGGGCTTGGGCGGGAACCAGGGCAGCGTGGTGGGTGGCGCGGGACAGGGCACGGCGAGTAGTGGGAGTGTGAGTGGCAGTGGGAGCGCAGTGATGGTGCCATCCGTGGTGGTGTCTCGCGAGGCCGTGCTGCCCCCCTGTGACGCCTTCCCCGCCACCAACCCCTTGTCCACCGCCCCCTCCACACCTTCAGCCTCATCCACCTCCCCTCGCTCCCAGCAGCAGCGCCAACGCAGCGGGCACACTGCAGCACACCGGCCAGACATTTTTGAAGGGCGTGGGTGACAGGCGCTGTGGCAGGTGCTCTCACGGCAGCTCTGGCAGTGGATCATTGGAGCTGTACTCCCCCTTTGCCGTGTGCTTGCAGCGTGTGCATGTGTGTCTTCCCCACCTTCCTCCGCACCGATCCTCTCTTCTTCCCCCTTCCGCTTGTCCACCTCTTTCTCATCTGCCACCTTTTTTTTTGTATTGCATAGAATGTATGTTTGCTCTGAGCGAGTTAGGTGTGTAATTTTCAGGGGGTTGTGTTGAAAGTATTTAACAAGCATAGCTGGTTTCGAATGGCACTGATGCCCTGATTGTCTGCATGAACTGTTTCATTTGATTCAACTTATTCCCTTTAGTGGGTCCGTCTTGTAACGGTTCGACCACAGGTGCGCGTTTTGCAGCTCCCGGCGGCTCTGTGCGCATTCTTGTCCCGGGTGCTGCTGCTCGTGGCTGTCACTTGCCATCGCGCGAGTGTCATCTGCCGTTGCCATGGCCTGGGTTCCACCGTCATCCATGGCGTCGCTCTCCGATCTCTCCTCGTCTCTTCTCTCTCGCCAAGCCCTCGATGCGCTGGGTGCGGCGGAGGCGGCGGTGTCGCAGCTGGAGGCGAGCATAGCGCCCATCGTCGACCACTGCTCGTCGCGCAGCCTCGCGGCGGACCTCGCGCCCATGGACCGCGCCAAGGCGCACCTCGTGACGGCGCACGCGGCGGCGTCGCTGTTCTGCCTGGTGCTGCGGTCGTACGGGCTGACGCCCAGCGAGCATGGCGTCGCCAAGGACATGGCGCGCATCGACTCCTACGTCCACAAGGTGCGCCGAGCCGACTCCGCCACGGACGGCAGCGCCACCGACGGCGCGCTGGGCGGGCCGGCGGCGTCGCTGGACGTGGCGGCGGCGACCCGGTTCATCGTGCACGCGGTCCCGGACTTGACGCCCGAGCAACGGCGGCTGGTGCGCGAAGCAGGGAAGAAACGACGACCGCGCGGAGGGGATGGTCGGCGGGAAGGGGAGGGAGAAGGGAGGGGGGAGGGCGGTGTGGGTGAGGGCGAGGCGGAGAGGGCGGGGAAGAAGGTGAAGAGCGTGCGAGAGGCAGCGCAGGAATTCCTCGCGATGACGGCTGCTGACGTGGCGGAGGCGAAGGAGGAGGGCGCGGAGAGGCAAGTCAAGGACGAGGAGGAGATTTAGCGCGCTGCAATGACGGGGGGAGAGCGGGGGGCAGGGGTTTGGGCTTAGGGTAGGGGGCGGGGTTTATGGGATTGGGGCTGTGGGCGAAATTTGTTTAGATAGCGAGTAGAGACAAGGGCAGGGCGAGAAGGGGCGTGATGGGTGTGCAGTGGGGCAGCAGAGAGCACAGAGCCCGGAATGTTCAAGACCCTGAGAGGCTTCGCTGCAGGTGCGGTGGGTGGAATGGGTGGCACCATGGCATGGGCAATGTCCACTTAGCTCGTTCGTACAGCAGGCAATGAATGCTCAAAACTGGCGTCGTGTGGGGCAGCTGCTTGGAGCTGCTTGGAGCTGCTCAATCCAGTCACAGGACGCATGTGCGTGCAGCAATTCTGTGATTCGTGCACTCCAACGCCCTTGCTCGGGTTGGGTTGGGTGTCGAGTGACCCGCTGGGGTTACCCTTGAGAAGATCCTCGGGGAAGGGCCACAGGTGCAGAGCCTGAGGGGCTATGGGCGCACTGATCCGCTATTAACAAGCCCTTTTAACTCAGTGGTTAGTGGCTGAGTTCTGTCATTGGGTTGGGTGCTTCACGAATGCCCAAGTGTCTCTCTGTTAGGTTACTCTATGTAAGAGAACTTGTTCGTAAAATATGCTGATTGGAAGTCACAGCCGAAGCTTGGAGTAGCATCAGTAGTCAATGCATTTTGTAGTGCATATGTTGTCCTAGAATTGTGTTTAGAGGAAATACCCTTGCGTTAGACTTGTGATTTTGTTGTTACGGTTGGCGTGTTCGACCCGCAACAGAGTATGCATTAGCGAGTCCAGCAGGGCTGATTGCCTTTGGGGGTCTCACCACGCTCACTTTGTTTCGTCTCTAGGAGCTTTTGCTTCAGCCAGATAGCTATGTCAAGTAGCGCTTCCTTGATCCCTTACACCTAGCTTCTTTTGACCCGCATCGTACAGGCAGCGTGCTAGCCACCGGGCGGCCATGGCGTCGCACGCGGAGGACCAATTGTCGGCTCTGTCGATCGAGTCGGGCGAGAAGATCATCGTCGCAAGTGATTATCGCACGCCGCCCTTGCCCGCACCTCCGCACTGCTAGCCTGTCGTGTGCCGCTGCTTAGCCCATCCCATGCGCTGCATGTCGCTGCTCACCATGTGCCGCCGCGCGCTACCAGCGGGTCGATCGTCATTCCTGGCGGTCATTGCGGCGCCTCCTCACCCGCTTCCGTTTCTCCTGCCCGCGCAATTTACCTCCCCGCTTCCGCCTTGTGCTCCTCTCGCCCGCTCCCCCTGCGGCGTGCCATCCCCCCCCGGTCTACCCCCCCCCCCGCCCGTCCGCACTACTCCGTCTGCTCCTGCCATTTCTCATCGCCCCCTCTCCCCACCCCTCCGCCCCCTCTCTCCGCCCCGTGCGGCGCGGCGCGCAGTCGAGGACGAGTGGAACGTGTGGCCGTCGGTGCGGCAGAGCTTCGAGGCGCGGCTGCCGCTGAAGAAGGTGCAGGTGCACAACCGCGCGCGCAAGCCCGTCGAGCTGGACCGCCTGCCGCTCGAGTACGTCCTCACGTCCGAGCCCAAGCTGCGCAGCCGGCCGCCCGTGAAGAACAACCCGCACTGGTTCCGCCACCCCTTCGCCACGCTCATCCTGCTCGCCTGCCATGTACGGCCCGCGCCCCCGCGCCCCCTCGCCCCCCCTCCTGCCCTCTCGCCCCTGCCTCTCCGTCGCCCCTTCCCGCACCCGCTTCGCTCTCTCGTGGTTAGCGGGCCAACACGCTGGCCGTACCCCAAGGCCAATGCGGTGCTTGTTGCATGGCTGGGGGGCTGGGGACTCAAGCGAAACCCTCTCATCTCTCCCTGCATGCACATCCATGCCACGCCATGTCGCTGCGTTGCTGCCATCGCGGAGTGCCATGCTGTGTGCTGGTCCATGCGGCATGTGCCATCGCGTGTGTGCGGCTGCCCCATCAGGCCACTCGTTCCTCTCTCGCCCTCTGCGCCACGCCCAACGCACATCCCACTGCCCGCCATGTCCCGCTCTCTCTCCGCGGCCCCATGTCCCCCCCCCCGCCCCCCGGTGCGCGGCATCAGGACCCCGACGAGTACCGAGTGAGTCTGCGCGCGCGGCTGCAGGCGCTGGTGAAGGCGGAGCAGGGCGAGTGGCTCATTGTGCACGTCATGCGCGCGGGGCCCAACGACCCCGCGGGCAAGCAGGCGCGCAAGGTGTTTGCGCGCATAGAGGACCACTTCCGCCGCGACAGGTGTGCCGCCCACATGCCCTGCGCCTTGCACGCCCCCTCGCTGCATTGCGCTCGCCTCACAGCACCGCTCCATGCTTGGCCATGCCTGCTTCAAGCTGTTGGCCCTTTCGTGTCCCTATTGACGTCTTCCTATTAGTGGTGGGCGTGACGGGTGCAGGTGCGTGCGGGTGGAGGTGAGTGCGGCAGAGCCCAACTACGCGGAGGTGGAGGCGAAGGTGGTGGAGTGCATCCGCACCACGCTGGACGCGCGCATGGTGCACTACTCCGACGCCGCCACGCGCCTGCTGGACCAGCGCCACTCACCGCACTGGAACTTCTGCGCCTACTACACTGACAAGGTGCGCTGCTGCCGCCAGTCGTTGCAGCAGTCATGTGCAATGCGGAGGAGGCCCGGCATTGCTCTTCCTCGTGTCCATCATGCACTTCTCATCACCTCTCCTCTTTCCTTCTCCTTCCATCCCCATCCCTCCATCACCGCCTCTCACATGTGTGCGTGTGCACGTGTTTCTGTGCACATGTGTGTGTGCATGTGTGTGCATGCATGTGTGCATGCGTGCGTGTGTGCATGCATGTGTGACCGCAGGAGAGTCTGGCGCTGATGTCAGAGATGGCGCAGTTGAGGGACGATGCGCTGAGGGACTATGATGAGATCGAGCAGGTGTACCTGGAAGCAGGTCCGCGCACCGCCCCCGCCCTCCCTCGCTGCACGCCGCTAGGTACACTCGCCATTGCATCACCACATTCCTAACCCCACCCCCCTGTGCGCTGCCTTGCCGTGTGGTGCGATGTGGTGCAGTGCGGCGGGGCGACAGCAAGGTGCGCGAGTTTGGGGGCCTGGATGTGGGCGATGAGAGGGCGGCGCTGCTGGATGCGGGGCGCAAGCCAATGAAGATGTTTGCGCACGAGGAGACCATCAAGCAGTTCGACTTCCGCCAGTACCTCTTCGCCCGCAGAGCCGCTGTACGCACTCCCACTCGCCCCATGCCCTGCCACTCGCCACCGTGCGCTCTGCTCTCAGCCGCCCCTTGATCTTGCCCTCCTTCTGCCTCTCAGAGCTCCTCTCCCTCTCCATTCCTGCCATCCACCTGCCCTTCTTGCCTCGCCTGCCCCCCCCTGCTCGCCCCTGCAGCTGCTGTTCGCCATGGGGCGGCCGGCAGTCGTGGCGGACAGGGCGTACGCGTTCATCCTCGACTTCTCCAAGGAGCTCGCCGCCAGACAGGTGCCCCGCCCCCTCCACCCACACCCTCTCTCACGCCCGCACCCATCCACCCACCTTCCTCTCTCGCTCTCTCTCCCCCGCTTTCGTGCTCCGCCCTCCCCGTGTGCCTGCATGCGCTCACGCCATCACCCGCACGGCTCTGCGACTGCCATAATCGGCGGCGCATGTGCACCTTCCTCCGCCGCCTCTCATGGCCTCTGCCTCCATCCGCGCTTCCCTCACCCCTGTGTGTGCCATTCCCCCCCAACCCCCCTCCTGCGGGCGTGCAGCGCGAGCTGCCGTTCTGCATGCGCGAGGTGTGGGTGCTGTCGGCGTGCACGCTGGTGACGACAGTGTGTGCGGAGCGCTTTGCGCCGCGGTCGCCGGGGCACTACACGGAGAAGGACTTCTTCCGCCTGCAGGCCGACCTCATCTCCCTCGCCCGCGCCAAGGCCCGTCCACCCGCCCCCAACGCCACTCCCACACCCCACTCCCCTCCCCACCTGACACCTACCCCCCCTCGCCTCTGCCACTGCTTTTTCTTCCCGGGGTCCTTGTAGCTGCGCCCTGCTTTGCGTGTATTGCTGCCACCCTGCCCATTGTGTGCAACCCCAGACCGTGCCTGTGCACAGCGCCCTGTGCGCTCGGCCGCGCTCCACGTGCCCCAGCAGCGCTGTGCTCTCCTGTGCGCCACGCCTCACCCCACCCTTGCCTCTCCTCCTGTGCGTGCCTGCTGTGCCCTGTGCGGTGTGTGTGGCAGTTGATGCGCCTGGGCGACCTCGTGGGCTTTGGCAAGTCCATCCGTGTCACGCCCTGCAACATGTACGCCCCGTTTCTCTCTCACCTGCACCTTTCATCGTTGAATGAACCAAGCCAAGCCACAGAGGGCGTGACAGGGAGCCAGCAATCATAGGCATGCAGGCAGAGTCTCAGTAGCTAGCCCGAGGCATGCACATGCAGGGCCAGCAGGGCGCGCTAGGGATGCAGTTTGGGTGCGCATAGAGTCATCTCTCTTTCCTTCATACGTTTCATGCTGCTCTTTCCTTCCCTCACACACTCCTTGTGTGTCCACCGCATGCGCGCCCCATGTGGTGTGCGGCAGGGCGGCTCTGGGTCTGTGTGCATGGCCTGCGCCAGCTGTGTGGCCCTCTGCGCCCTCTGATTCCGACCCGCGCGTCAAGGCCCGCCAGGTGACGCCGCCGCCATGCCCTGCGCTTCTCGCCACCTCTCTGCTGCATGCCACGGCACGTGCTGTGCGCTGCCATGCTCTTGCATGTGGCGTGTGCTCATCCTGCCTCGCGCCCTGCGTGCCCTCCACCCCACCACCCACGGCAGGCAGTCATTCAGGAGGTGCAGGGGGCGGGGTCTGCGGCTGTGCCACGCGGTGAGGCACGGCTGTGTGGGTTGGGGCCGTGCAGCCTGGTGCAGGAGGCGAACCGCCGCAAGGCATCTCTCACTGCGGGCATGCCAGGGGGGCTCTGGCCCGACGCCTCCCCCTCCCGCCCCAACGACTCCAGGTCTGCTCCCGCTCGCCCCTGCTGCCCTCCCCCCCCACCCACCCTCTCTCACTCCTTGGACGACCTGCCTGGGCGTGGCTCACTCAAACGAGCGAGCACCTCAAGTGCTGAGGGGAAGATGATGCTCCTCAAGACGCTCAAAGCGCTCATGCCGCTGCGCTTGCTGCGTGCTCTCTTCCTCGTGCGCTCTGACGGAGCTGCGCTGCCACCACACGTCGCACCCCCTCCTTGCTCGCTCACCCCTCCCTTCCCCTCTCCCCCCCTCGCAGGCCTGACGGCAGCACCCCTCCGAAGCAGCGGCCGGGCAGTCCCTCATCGGGGCCGGGGGCGAAGATGTTGTCGCTGGCGCAGGTGCAGGTGGCGGCGGCCAGCGCGCTGGAGGCATTCGTCACGTCGGGCATGCTCAAGCGCGCGCTGTCGTCCCGAGAGCACTTCGAGGTGCGTACGCTGCCGCCCGCACCCTGCTGCTGCCTCCACTGCACGGTTTGTGGGACGGATGCACTCGCCTTGGGCATGGCAGTGGCACACATGGGAGAGCACTTGCTGCGTGCCACCAGCCTCTTGTGCCTTCCACTCACTCACTCATGTGTGTGTGCTGCCGTGCCCCTGTGTGCGTGCAGGACTTTTATCTGGAGTTGACGCGGTCGGCGGCGGACTGCTATGCGCGCTCGCTGTGGCTGCGGCACGCCGTGGCGCTGGACGCGGAGGTGGGCAGTCTGCACGAGGCGGGGGGGCGCTTTGACCTGGCGCTCAAGGTGTACGAGAAGCAGAACGCCGCGTACAGTGCGGCGCGCTGGCACCACCTGCTGCTGGACCTCTTCCCGCGCCTCTCGCACTGCCAGCTGCTCATGCGCGACCTGCCCGCCTTCCTTGGCTCCTGCACCAAGCTGCTCTCGCTGGGGCCCGCCCTCGTGCCCTTGGACGAGCGCAGCACGGTGCAGCGCCAGATGGTGGAGGTGGCGCGGTCGCGCCTGGAAGAGCCCGTGTCCGTGGATGTCTCCTCCCTCCTCTCCTTCGCCCTCGCCCCCCACACGCCCACACCCTCTGCCACGGCTGCTGCCTCTCCCTCTGTGTCTGCGGCTGCACCAATGTGCCCCGCAGGCAGAGCGGGCAGCCGGCCGTTGGAGCTGGGCGAGGGGGACGTGGTGTCGCTGTCCCTGGCCGTGTGGAGCTCCCTGCCCGCCCCCCTGGCGCTGGACTCGCTGGTGCTGTCCCTTGTGACGCCGCCTCTCTTCACTGCGGAAGATGGCATCAGGGTAAGGCCCGTCACCCACACCGCACCAACCACAGCAAGCATGGCGTGCCACACACCCACTCTCCTCCGCACGCACCCTCACCTCACTCAAGCCACTTCTGCATCTCTTGCCTTGCTCTGCGTCTCTTAACTCCATTCTCACTGCTGTCTTGCACGTCTCTAACTTCCGCTCCTGCCCTGCGCTGGCGTCCCTGCGCTGGCTTGTGGGGACCAGATGAAGAGTGAGCCAGCGCCGGTGGTGCTGCAGCCGGGCGGCAACACGGTGCAGGTGGTGGCGGTGGCGAAGCGGCAGGGCGTGTACGTGCTGGGCATGCTGATGGCGCACTGTGGGCGCGTGCGCTTCCGCTCCAGCTCCGCCACCATCAAGGGCGGCCCGCCCGAGGCCGAGGACTACCTCACGTCCGAGCGCACTCTGCGCACCGTGCTCAAGGTCACCCATGCACCACCCGCCACCCTTGCCTTCGTCGCCATCCGCTTCCTCATTGCCGCACACGAATTTTGTAACCATGCCACTGTGTCAAGATGCTGAAACACCTGCTCTGTGTGTGGGTGTGTGTGTGTGTGTGTGTGTGTGTGTGTGTGCGCGCGCGCGCGTGCACAGGTGTCGCCATCGCGGCACCTCTTGGACATGGCGCCAGTGGTGGATCAGCCGTTGCTGCTGGGGGAGCCGCAGTGGTTGGGTCTGCTGCTGCACCCGCTCTCCTACTCCCTCGCCGGCTCGCTGCTCAGGCTCGCAGGGGGCCCCGGCCTGCTGCTGCCGCCTAACCAGACGGTGGAGTGCCAGCGCCTGCCGCCTGCCTGCCCCTCTGCGCTGCGGCAGCCAGGCAAGGACAAGGCGGGCAGTGGAGAGGGGCCAGAGGGTGGCAGCGAGGCTGTTCCCATGGTGGCGGGCTCCCTGCACCTGCCCTCCTGGTGCGCCGACTGCCCCACTGTCGTCTGGGTGCAGGCCTGCGCCTATCGCGACCGCTCCCCTGTGCCGCTGCTCGTTCCTGCTGCCTCCTCGCCTTCCTCCTCCCCCACCCATTCCCAGCAGCAGCAGCAGGCAGGTGGCGGTGACGGAGCATCGTCGTCGCCTTCCTTGTCATCCACGGACTGGGGCAGCAGCGCGGGCAGCGTGAGCAGCAGGGGCGGCAGTCCATCAGGGGACAGCGCGTCCCAGCACTCCACAGCAACAGCCAGGGGCGGCTGGGCAGCAGGGGGGGAAGGGGCGACGAGGGGGCAGGCAGGGGTGGGGTCAGTGCCGGCAGTGCGTGTGGTGCGGTGTGTGGTGGAGTACGGCACGCCTCGCACACGCGTCTTTGAGAAGTATGCCCGCTTCACACCCTGCTGCTTCAACCCACACCCTCCCATCCATTTTTGCTTCCCCACTCAGCTCATCTGCATTCTTCGACCATATATCTGCTTTTCTCTCCCTCCCTCCCAACCCCCTTCTCTTTCTCTCGCTCTCCCCCTCTCTCCCCGCCCCTCTCTCACTCCTCTCTCCCCTCCTTGGCGGCGTGCTGCCATGCACCAGGGTGCTGACATTCCAGTTCGTGGAGCCCTTTCACGTGTCCACCAGAGTCGTCAGCAGAGGGGCCGATGGTGCTAGAATGCTGCTGCAGGTCGCATATCACACCTCCACCTCCTCTCTCAATCCATGCTATTTCTCATGTGTTTTTCTCTCTGTCACATGCGCTGACTTCTGTATTGCCGCGGTTCGCATTCCAGTGCGTGTCTCTCATTGTGCCTTTCTGCCCGTGCATCCATGCGCCGCTCTGCTCTGTCCCCCTGCCATGCGCCACAGATGTCGTTGCACTCCAACCTGCGCTGCACGCTGCGCGTTGCCTCCGCCTCGCTGCGCCTGCAGCCCGGCTTCGCCCTGCTCTCCACCGCTGCTGCTGCCGCCTTCGCCACATGCCCTGCGGGACCATCTGCCGTGAGCCCCGTGGCTGCTGCTCCGCTACTGGACGTTGGGCCTCTGCTCTCAGGCACCCTCCTCTTCACGCTCTCGCTGCGGCCACCAGGGGAAGCTCCCAGTGCTGCCAACAAGACGTCACAACGAACAGGTCACATGCCCACTCCCTCTCTCTTCCCTCTTCTCTGCCTCTCTCCCTACCCGCCTCTCTCCCTCTCACCCTCCCTCCGTTTCTTGTCTCTCTCATCCTTGCTGCCAACTCCTCCCCCTCTCACTTGATTTCCTTGTCCCCGTCCCCTCCCGCAACGTCCGTCCTCTCTGCACTGCCATGCTGTGGCTGGCCTGCATGCCTCGTTCCACCCACCTTGAGCTGCGTGCTCACCCCATCGCTCCCTCCTCCCTTTCCTCTCTGCCTCTGCTCTTCCCTCCCTGCTCCCTCGTCGCAGCAGCCCGTGCCCACCCTGCATCGCAGCAGCAGGCAGCCGAGGGGCAGGGGGAGGGGGAGGAGGGCAGGTGGGAGGGGGGCGTGGAGGGGGTGAGTGAGCTGCGCGTGCAGTACGAGGTGGTGGGGGAGCGCCTGCACGGTGCGCATGCGCCTGTCAGCACGCCGCTGTGGGCCAGGACCAGAGGGGGCGAGGGGGCGCCCATGGGGGCAGGTGGTGCGGACGATGTGGGTGGGGGGCGCAGAGGAGAGCAGGGAGGGCAGGCGGCGGTGAAGGGTGAGGAGGGCAGGGGCGTGAGTGGGGGTGTGGTGCCTGTGTACCGCCATGCTGTGGTGCTGCAGATGCCTGTCACGGACCGCGTGCTCGCAGTGGGGCTGCTCACTCCAGCCAGCGCTGTGAGCATCGCCCCGCGTGTGGGGTGTGTGTTGGTGCTGGAGTGGCGCATTGAGCGACTCATTGACGGCCTCCTGCTGCCACACGCCCACCATGCTCCCTTGCACCTGGTACGCTGCACATGCACCCCTCTGCCACCCTTCATCCTTTCGGTGGCGTTGTTGCGTGTGCTTGCTATTAGGGGAAGCGTTTTTTGCCCACCTATGTTGCATGGCCGTGAGCGCTTTCCACGTAGCAGCATGTGCACCCTGCCTCAACGCCCCTTTCTCCCTGGCTCTTCCCCCGTCCCCATGCTTGCTCCCTCTTGTCCTTGTGTGAGGGTGTATGGGAGCAGGGGGAGGGCGAGGAGGTGGAGTTTGAGGTGCGGGTGAGTGGGGACGACTGGATGATAGCGGGGCGGCGCAAGGGCTTTGTGCGGCTGCCCATGGGGCGCGGGGCGAAGCACGTGCTGTCGCTGCACTGCCTGCCGGTGAAGTCGGGGTTTGTGCGGCCGCCCGTGCTACGCCTGCCGCAGATCAACCCCGACACCATCAGCCACTCCCCTGCCGGCCCCCACCTGCTGCGAGTGCTGCCCCAAGAACCCTGTGCCTCCTTCTGCGTCTCCAAACGCGTCTGATGAACATCGCTGAGAGGCAACCCCACCCACGCACTTCCCGTTCCCTCTCGCAATGAAAGGCCAACCCCCACCCTAGTGCTGTAAAAAAACCAATGGACTCAATATGCCACCATTCTTTCTGATTACACGCGTGTTGATCATTGACTTCCTAACGGCACACGGTATGTGTAAACGAACCTACATCAATGTGAAACAGTTCCCTAAGGCCCCGTATGTATCAGATCAGACGTTGCATATCTGTTATCAATGAACAAGCAGAGTAGCGCGGGAATGAATAACGAAGTGTTGAATCACTGAATGACGATACAAGGTATGGCAAGCCAAGATATACGTTAGGAACACCAGAGCTAGTCTAACCATGAGATGTGAAGGTTTGGGAAGGAGATCGAAGGGTCTAGAAGTGACGGAGCGAGGCCCGGAGAACTCTTGAAGGTCGAACTGGAAGGTCTGGAGAAGCTGAGGCGGTTCTGTCAGAAAGGTCCGGAACCGTCCCGAGGCTTCGGGTGTTTTCGAGCGTACGCGATAGCAGTACCGTTCGGTAAGAGATGGAAAATTCCTCACAATAGCTATGCGGCCGTAACCATTGTCCTCGAGATCTTGGCTAGTCCTGACCGCGACCCAGCAGAAGCACACCCGCCCTGTCCTCTCCTCACCACCATCCCCACACCCATCCATTCGCACGGCACTTGCCTTGAGCGCACTTCGCACGGCTCGCTGTGCGATAGGGGCGATCCTTGGCGGGGCGGCATGAAGCCATCGCGGAGCGACGAGGTGCTGCCGCCGGAGGAGCAGGCGGCGGCCACGGCCAAGGTCAGCCCGGGATCGGGGCCGCCCGGACCGCACGGCGCCCTGTGCGCGCCAGCGCTGTCTTCGCGTTAGCCGTGATGCGACGCGTGGGCCGCTGCACTCCGTGTGGCGTCGCTTCTCGTCGCTTGCGCTCTGGGTTCCCGCGACACCATTGCCCATGTGCCGCGCGCCCCTCACACCCCGCTGTCATCCGCGGCCACCACTGTTCGTCTACTCCTGCCCCCTCCCACCCCCTGCCCCCTCCCACCTCCGCCCCCCGCCCTCCCCCGCCAGGTGGAGCAATACTTTGAGTCGCAGGCACCCAGGCGCGCCCCGAAGCCGAGCCGCAGCGAGGCGGGCGAGGGCGGGGCGGTGTTGGGCGCGGGCGACGCCGTGGCCGTGGACCTGCCGGAGAGGCGCGCACTGGCGCACCTCGTGGCGCACAGCGGGGTCAGTGCGCGGGGAAGGGGGCGGGAAAGAGGAAGGGGGGAGGGGGGGGATGTGCGGGGAGGCACGGACGTTGGGGATTGTAGCAGTGCGTTGGCGTGAGGCGCAGTGGCGCACGTGCGCTGATGGCACAATGTGTGGCAGTGGCGCAGCCACACCACACAGCACGTGCTCTCCCCACTGCTCCTTGCTGGTGGCTCGCACCGCAATGCCCTCCACCTTCACGCCATCACCCCTCTAACACTGTCATTGCTTTTCTCCCCCGGCCTCTCCTCTCCCCTCCCCGCCACCCTGCCCCACACCCACCCACCTCCCCGTGTTGCGTGGTGCAGCCGGTGTGTCCCGTGGGCACGCCAGAGGTGGCGGACCCGGAGCACCACCCCGCCACGTCGTACTATGAGCATCTGCACTTCGATGGCCCGCACTGCCCGGTACACACCGCCCACGCTCGCCCACTCCCCCCTTCGCCCCAGACTACTCTCCTCAACCGCGCGATCCCACGCTTACCCCCTCCCCTTTCACCACCCAAATCTCCATCCCTCCTCCCCGTGCACCTCGCGCTGACAGTTTTTCAATGCATTCCTCCCGTCCCATTCTTGTGTGTGGCTCTGTGCTTGTGTGTGGTGTGGCGAGCGTGCATGGCATGCGGTGTGTGGGTGTGCATGGCATGCGGTGCATGGGTGTGCATGGCATGCGGTGTGTGGGTGTGCATGGCATGCGGTGCATGCGGCGTGCCGCGTGTGGGTGTGCATGGCATGCGGTGTGTGTGTGTGCAGACGGGCAAAGGCTTCATAAAGCTGGACGCCAAGGCGGAGGTGCCAGTGCACGTGGTGGAGCACCACGCACCGCCACCGCCGCTGCTCGTCCATTCCCACCCACACACCAACCCTGCCAGGGATGACTGGGCTCCTGAATAGCCCCCCTGTGTCCTCCCTTTTTCTCGACCAGACCACCTTCAATTCATAAGATAGGACACGATGAGATTGATGCAACCATGTGTATTGCTGTCATCACTAGGCATAACCGGATCCACAGCAAGTCATTCCGAGTCATGAGCTCAATATATGTCCAACAAAGAGTTACACAAAGCCATCAGCAACAATACTAGGCGCCCTCTGCACCTGCACAAGTGGCACTAGTAGCACTGGTGCAGCATGCAGGCAATGCAGTTTGATGAATATTGGGATGACAGAATGGGTGCCAGTAAACTTAGGAAGGAACACAAGCCCTCTCCACAGTGAGATGGACAAACCATCAAGCCAATTGACCCTTAGTGCATCCCATGTCACTTCAAGCCAGCGTCTCTCCCCATGTGCTCACCGTGCCCCCCCCTCTCCCCTGTCTACCAGGTGTACTTGGCCTCCACGAGGATCTCCTCGTACTGCACGGCTGCCGCGTCCCAGCTCAGGTCCTGCGCCATGCCTCGGCGCTGCAGGCGGCGCCACGAGTCGCGGTAGTCGCGGTACGTGTAGATGGCGTTGCCCAGCGCGTGCACCAGCCCGCCCACCTCCGCGTGGTCGAACGTCCACCCCAGCCCCGAGTCGTTGAACGGGTCAAACGCCGTCACCGTGTCGCGCAGCCCGCCCACGGCATGCACGACGGGCACGGTGCCGTAGCGCATGGCGTACAGCTGGTTGAGCCCACATGGCTCAAAGCGCGACGGCATGAGCAGGATGTCGCAGCCCGCGGTGATGCGGTGCGCCATCTTGACAGAGAAGCCCACCCACCCCCTGACCTTGTCCTTGTGCTTGCCCTCCATCTCGCGCAGGCAGTTCTCCAGGTCGTCCCTGCCCGTGCCCAGCATCACCAGCTGCACGTCCTGCTGGGTCAGCCACGGCATGGCCTCGGCGATGATGTCCACACCCTTCTGGTAGTCCAGCCGCCCTATGAACCCCAGCAGTGGCACGTCCGCACGCACCGGCAGCCCCAGCTCGCGCTGCAGCGCCGCCTTGCAGGCCGCCTTGCCGTCCTCGAGCGTGTTGATGTTGTAGTGCTGGTAGCCATACCGCGGGTCGCCGTGCTCCTCCAGGTGCACGTCGCTCTCGGGCCCCCACTCCACCGTGTCGATGCCGTTCACCACGCCGCGCAGCTTGCCCGCGTGCTCGCGCAGCACGCCGTCCAGCCCCCACCCGCCCATTTGCGTCTGCACCTCCCAGGCATACCCACGGCTGACAGCGACGAGGCGCTGTGCGCTGATGATGCCGGCCATGAAGATGTTCATGTGCTCGCCGCCCACCGGGTCGTACAGGCGGAAGCGGTCAATGTAGTGCTCGGGCAGCCCCAGCCAGGGGAACTCGGCGACGGGGCCGCGGCCCTGGTGGGCCATGTTGTGGATGACGAGCACGGAGCGCGTGAACTCCATCATGCCATGGTCGCGGTAGTACCCCTGCAGGTACACCGGCAGCAGCGCCGTGTGCCAGTCGTTCGCCACAAACACCAGGTTTCCATCACCATAGCACACACCCCCACACGGCACGTGCCATGGAGCCTGTGGGCGCATGCGGGGGAGGGAGAGCAGGTGAGACGAGGGAAGAACGTGGAACAAGCAAGGGCATGGGAAGAGCAAGGTAATAACGGACGGAGGAGCGGATGAGAGTGGCGAGAGGGTGATACCTCAATGGCTGCCTTGCAGAGAAGAATCATTCTCTTGGTCACCTCCTGTTGCCATGGTCACAAACGCGTGCAAAAAAGACCGGCCGGCCACCCACACAACAGGCACACACACAGCACGCACGCACGCATGCACATGCAAACAAACGCACAAGCATGCACAAATGCACATGCAACCCCCTCTCCGTCACAAATGCAGAGAAGACACACAGAGCGAGATCGGGAAGGGTTGGGAGTGAGGAGACATGAGAGCAGCAGTGGATAAAGAAGCAGGCATGTGGGAGCCTGGCTGTACAACGGGAGAAATGTGCGCGGCTTGACAAGCAACGGGAGCGTGTGGGGCCGGTGGTGAAAGGCAGGTTGGAGGGTACCTCTCTGGAGCCGCCGTAAATGTTTTGGTTGAGGTGGTGGAACCAGTTGTGGTCGATGAAGACGAAATCGACGCCATCCACGTACTTGTGCTGGTACAGCACCTCCATGTCCTGCCACGCACGCCGCCGCCACCACCACACACAACACAAAACACGCTCACAACCTCGCAATCGGCATCACATGCTCGCGTTCACTATCGTCCATGGCGACAGATGCTCGCCTTGTGGCACGGAATACACGCGCGCACAAGCTAGCTCTACCCGCAGCCATTGCATGAGAGATACCCTCCAAGCTTCGAAAGAGCAGAGGACATGCGATTCATGGCACTTTCATGCACGCCATGACACGGGTCTCTTCAGCATGGCATGTGCATGGTTCGCCATGCCATGGCAACACATGCGCATGGTATGGCATGGCAGGGAGTAGGTACCTGGCCTGCGACGTTGAATCTCTTGCGCACGTTCGTGTCCTCCAGCCCCTCGTAGTTGCCATAGCGAGGCACCACCACCTGCCACGCACACCACACACGCCACCACATGTCAGCAATCTGGCATAGTCACATTCGACCATCCCGCTCAGTTCATTGACCTTTCCATTGTGATATATCACCACGTGCCGCGGCTGGATGCCGACGAATCCATCACACATTCACTCGCACTCTTCCCCATTCCCCTTCCCATCCCCCCTCTCACCATGACGCGGTGTCCTCTGCGCGCGAGGGCCTTGGGCAGCGCGCCGACGACATCCCCGAGGCCCCCGGTCTTGGACCACGGCGCGCACTCGCTCGCCACCATCACCACGTTCATCACGTTCGGCCCCGCCAGCGGCTCCGCCTTCACCTCCGCGGGGGGGACCGCAGGCGCAACCGCCACCGGCGCGGGCACCAGCTTTGAGGGTGGCGGCGGAGCGCGCGGCGGGGCGACGGGGGGAGCGGACGGCCTTGGCTTCGGCACGGCGAGGGGAGTGGCAGGTGCAGCAGCCTTGGGCGGCACTCGTGAGGTTGTAACAGCACTCTGGAAAGGCGGGAGCGGTACTGCCGAAGGTGCAGCGGGTTGCTTCGGCGCTGGGGGAGGGGAACGCGGCGGAGACCGTGCGGGCGGCGCGGATGGTGCGGCAGCAGGAACGGTGCGCGGCTTGATTGCGGCAGGGGGGGCAGCAGCGACAGGAGACGGCGACGGCCGGGCAACGGGAGACGGGGGAGTAGAGTCGGGAGGAGAGGCGGGGGGTGGCATTCTGGAGGGAATGGCGACGGGCGACGTCGCGGGTTTGGCAGCGGGAGACGTGCGGGCGGCGGGCCCTCGCGGCGGGGTCGACGCGGAGGGCACGTTCACCGGGAACGACCGCGGCTTGCTGGAGGCTGGTGCGGCGGGGGTTGGCGGAGAAACGGGCGCGCGGGAGGTAGCGGGAGTTGTAGAGACGACAGGTGCAGCGGCAGCCCTTGGAGGAGACGACGGGGATGACGCAGCGGAGGGACGGGCGAGGCGAGGTGGCGAGGCGGGCTGGAGGTCCTGGCGGGGCACGGGTGGCAGACCGCCGCGATCGGACTCGTTGAACGCCTTGATGGTGGCGGCTGGCGTGTCCAGCGACTGCAACAACGCCGCGTGTAGCTTGCGCCGCTCCTCCAGCTGATCGCCACACGCGAAAGACGAGCGTCAACGAGAGGCAGCAGAAGGGTAATGGTGGCAGGAGGACGATATAAAAGCGTTAGCAGCCAGCAGATGACGAGGACAAAAAAGAATTTTGGAGCGCGTTAATCGGAGCTGACAACGAACATTTGCACATGACTGTGAGCCGGGCCGTACCTGATCCAGTAGCTCCTTCTGCATGCGCATCAGTCGCTCGTTGCGCTCCGCCAGAGCCGCCCGCTCACTGCCGGAGGGCCTTGCCGACTGGCTGCTCTCCGCAACTGAGCCGCTGCCGCCGCCGCTGCCGTCGGCAGGGAGTTCGGCGCGCACTCTGCAGCTGCCGTGCCACGGCCTGCTCGGCAGACTCGTGCGGGTGGCGATGGTAATCCGGCGAGCGGAGAGCGCATCGAGGCTGCTGAATCTGCCACCTGCACGGGGCTCTACCGTGCCGAGTAAGGGTAGCGGCCGCGCAGCCAAGCTCGCTGTGGTCTCCATGTTGTCTGGCCTCACGCAGCCCTCGCCTTCACACAACACCCAGCTGCCGCAGCGGTACTGGCGCGCCCAATTATCAGCTCGAGTGTGCACAACTGTTGCCACTAGGCACAGAAACGTTACCGGGCTGGCCCTCAATCGATCCCTGACCAGCAATGGCTCCCAAAGGAGAGGTCCAAAGAAAGTGGCACAACAGTGGTGCTTGAGAGAAGGATTTGGTACAAATCATAGCGACACAGCACGCGAAACGTGGCTGGGGGAAGCAGGCAGGAGCCAAGTGACTGGCATTTTGGCAGTGAGAGCAGATGTCACAAGAAGCTCCTGCACAGGAAAGTTCACCCTGCAAGCTTCGAATACGGTCAGCCTATTTCGGTACCAAATCAGAATGATTTGATAGTACATCATGTAATTTGAATAATCGAAATATATCCGTAGTAAGCGCGAATACATTGAACGTTATCAACACCTACTCCCCATATCCCAGCTTTCTCCTGTTTGTTCGCTAACACCAGGGCCCGCATATCCGTATCAATCATCCCCAATGCTTTCTTTGTTCCGTTAGGAGATGGCGAGAGACGTTTTGTAGGGTACTTTCCTGTAAAAACAATAATGACCAGGATTATTGGAAACGGAAATTAGGCACCAAAACGGGGAGGTAGAGCCGAATAGGGGACCTGGCGGAAATGCGCCCGTCAAGGTCCGCGTGCACGACCAATCAGGGCGTTGCTCCCACGACCACACAGGCGTTGCTTTGGTTCGGTGCTGAGTCATGCTCCCTTCCCACCTCACCCGCTCCCATGGCGAGTCGTCGAGCCTCACCAACATGAGATCCAGAAGCCTCAGCAAGCACGAAGAGTTATGACATTCCGTGATGACACGTGTCCCTTTTGGTTGCGCCAGAGCCTCACGGATAAGGCAGAGCGTCAGCCATCCATCCTTTATTCGCAACGCCACGCAAGAATGGACGAAAGTGGGCCTGGCTTGTGGACGGCAAGGGAGCTTGGTGGGGAAATGCTGACATGGCACTGATCCCACCACACCTCGCACTTTATGCCCGTCTTTGTTACAAATGGATACATGGAAAAGAGGAATATAATAATTCCATTAGCAAGCAATTTGCAGGGCATTCTCTCCAGGCCAATGCCCTCGATAGCTCTTTTCCACTTTCCAAGTGATCAGACGGGCCCTTTGGGTTTAGGGTTTACGGTTGCAGGCCACGCAAACCCTGAACCCTTCGGGCCCGTCTGATCATCAGAGGAGCGGAATTTCGATTTCTGATTTCCCAAACGATCTAAAATACGAATTCTGACATTTCAGACGAGTCGATCGAGACTTTCTAATTGCCCCCGAAACCAACCCCAATCCCTGCCACTGCAGCCTTTGTAACTTCATGAATTTTTTAAACGGCCAATGATGTTGAAATGAACCACGTGTTTAGGGTGGCCATGATCTAGAGTTAGTGGAACCACGAGCAAAAATTCAGCTGAATACTTTACACAAGACCCTCAAATTTCAGGGTAAAACACCCTGAAAGCCTGGTTTTCATGGTGTGGTATGTTAGCCGTATCAAATTATATATATATATATATATATATATATATTGTATAGGCTTGGTAGATGTGCTAGTGCTACCTTACTGGATCCTACTGTAGAGGGGACAAATCCCCCCCCCCCCCCCCCCCCCCCCTTTCTTGTATTCCTCTCTCTTCTAGTCCAACTCTCTTTTCTCTCGTAACTCTTCCCCCCCTAGCTAAACCTCTCGACATTCTCCTATGCCTAGATAGTTCCTAGTCTTATCTCCTTTCGACAAGCCGACCCTGAGATTCCAAGTTATGCATCGTAGTTTGGCATGTCAATTCAAGTAGTTCATACTGTAAGGCCCTGTACTTTTAGAATGTTCTGGTCCACGGAGCCCTGAGACCAGAGGGTGTTGTCGGATACAGCCCTGATTTAGACCCCTTGTATACACAAGGGACATTACTGGGTGTATACCATATGCCCGTCCACAGATGCCCCCGAATCTCGTCAACGCTCACACGTCACCCCCATCTTCATTGGGCTTTGTTTGCAGCATGAGATAGTTCTGCTCATACCGTACATGCCAACACTTACACACCTATATACTGCAACCTATGTTAGGGTTTTCAACAAAGCCCATATAACGCATGCTGCAAAGCAAGCCATTCACAGCCTTGAGAGTTCAGGGTCTTGTGACTGGAGGCCCTGTGAAAACAGGGTGTTCATGAAGTACAGACCCTGACAGGTGCACGCTTTTCAGAGGGTGTGCCCTGAGGGCTAAGGGTGCCTAAATTTGAATCTGAGGCCTTGCTTTACACCTTGTAATAGAAATGTCCGAAATGAGAAGGATTGATAATAATAAGTAATACATCATATATGTAGTATAGGAAGTACCTTTTCGGAATGTACATGTTCGTAGTGTATCGCGACTATTCGCGTGACATGATTAGTGACTGTTCGTGTGGCTGAGAGTGGCGTGACCCTTCAGGTGACTATACACGTCAACCTACTGTTCACGTGTTGACTCGCTACTGCTAACGTCATCACGCGCGTCCTTCTAAATAAGGTATCGCACTACTAGTACAGTCTAAATATGATATCACGAATGCATAACTAGTAACTTTGTCGAGTATACTTCAACACTCCCCTTCATTCCTGGGTGTATGTCTCTGGGTAAATGTCGCCGCGTTTGCATATTTCGACCAGGTTGAAGCAGTGTTGAAACTTGCCGCGTGGGATTTTCTTCGTCAGAAAATGAACTGTCATTTCTTCTGTAGGGCACTATTTAAGGATGACCTTCCCTTTGTCGATTTCGTCCTTGATGAAGAACTAGCAGATGGCGATGCGTTTTTTCCTGTTTACGAAGTCGGGCTTATTTGCAATCTTTATTGCGCTATGTTTATCGCAGAGTAACTTGAAATTATATGTTGTTGCGATTTTCGCATCTTAAAGTAAGTCTTGAAGATATAGTCCTTCGCGAACTGCAGAGCTTGCTGCGACGAATTCTGCTTCGGCTGACGAAAGTGCGATGACCTCCTATTTCGTTGAGTTCCAAGAAATAACACCACCCGGTTCAAGTTTGAATATGAACCCTGTACGTGAACGCCTGTTGTCGGGGTCAGTAACGTGATCCGCATCAATGTATCCAGTCAGTTGAAAATTTCCGGCAGTATTTGTCGTATACTGTAGTTGAGACCGATTGTAGGAGTAGAAATGAAATATTGGAGGGCTCGATGAAGATCGTTCATATTCTCCCCTTCAGGTCGGCCCAAGTACTGTGCCCGCTGATTCGTAACGTAGGCAAGATCTGGGCGGCATGTAATGACTGCAAATAGAAGACACCCGAGCTGCTGTTGGTAAAGCTGATGCTCGGAGGCGGTAAGTGGGGTAGTATTGGGTGTGTGATCGGCTAGAATATGACGAAATGGAGTGGTGAGGCCGATGGTAGCGATGCTGAACTTTTTTCACAAGTGTTTTTGCGTACTTGCTTGCAGAAAGGTACATGGCATCGGGGCCGCAGTCGACGTTTAACCGAAGAAATTGGATGACGTTGGAGGAAATGATAACTTCAAGAATCGTTGGATTCTTTCCTCCATGCCCGCCAGAAGACTGTTGCTCGAGCCGGAGTACAGTAAGTCGTCAACATAGGCAACTAGAAGAATGTAGTCTCCCCTAAATTTGAGTCTGTACATTCGAGGGTTGAGTGAAATCAGAACCTTTTGAAGATGCTGCTGCCCCAGGCGACAAGCGTGTTTGATGCCGTAGAGTGATTTAAGTAACTTGCAGATGTGGAGTCCGTTGCCGTAAGTGTGAGGGAGTTCGACGAAAATATATGCATCAACGTATGCGTATAAAAACGAATTTTAACGTCCAGTTGGTGAAGTGGCTGATGGCAGTTGGCTGCAATAGTGAGAAGAATTCGAACAGAGGCATGGCGGCTGACCGGAGCAAAAGTCTGGTCATAGTCGATGCCATGGGTTTGTTCAAAACCTCGAACGACCCATCTCCCATAGAATCTGTCTTGTTCGCCCGCTGCGTTTGTCTTTATACGAAAGACCCACTTGCCCGAAAGAATTTTATTGCCGCGTGCTGCTTCACGTAGAACGAGTTTCCACATTTTTCGCTTCTCGAGAGTTGCTACCTCTGCATCCATAGCTGCATGCCACTTGTCAGCATTAGGGCTGGAGAGGGCTTCCTTGATTGTTTTTGGCTCAATTCCAGCCGTTGGTTGCTGAACTGCAACAGCAAGGCCAAGGATCTAAGGAGCCGATTGGTCACCACGACGGTGAGGTTGGCAAACTTCGACGACATCATCGTCGTCAATTTCGGATGGCAGATTGCGGGCACCGTCATGTGATGGGGCGTCAACTTTCTATCGGCGCAGGTGCTCCTCATAATTATAGGCAGCCTGTGTCGTGGCAGGACGCAACGGGTACGAGAGGGAAATGAAGAGCGGGATGTCTGTATTGTTAGCACGTGTCGAGGGAATATATGATTCAAACAGTGCTGCGTCACAGGAGGAATGACCAGGTGTAGCTGCTGATGAAGACGGCTGCGGAATTGTAGAAGGTCATGCTGCTGCACTGTCGGGCGGATAAAATATTCTTTGGCTCCATCTGCTTCGTCTTGAGGGGTGGCGAAACTTCGTTCGACACTATAGCGATCAGGATCCCGCTGCTGGTTTTCCTTGTCGCGTTCGAAGTCATCGAGAAAAAGCTTCTCGTAGAAGATGCAGTCTCGGACATACAAAACCTTATGGGTTTTATAACCCATAATTATCCAGGAATAAGAATCCTTGGGTACACCAAGGTGTATTCCCCTTCGAGCCCGTTCAGTAAATCTGCCCACAATTGCGCTCGGAGGTCAGCTTTGGACCATGCAGCCTCAAACTCGTAATACTCGAGTGTCGGCGGGGTGTTTTTTCCACATAATGTGTGGCGAGATGAACTCAAGGAGAGCTGTTGAAGACAGGGAGTTGTGTAGTCTTCCAGCTTATGACATCGCAAACGGCAAAAAATCTGCTGTCAAGCTGGAATGTTGCAGCAGCACGCGCACCTTCTCTTGCAACGTTCTGTTCGTCGTCTCAGCTACTCCATTTTGCTGATGGGCATAAGGCACTGTCTTGCACCTGAGTATCCCATTCTGTGCCAGGAATTCATCGAGCTGCTCGCTGGTGTACTCGCCCGCGTTGTCTGTCTG